ATAAATACATAATGAGCTATCTTAGGGATAGGACCCAAATGTAAACATGAAATTCATTTATGTTTCATATATATCTTATACACATACTCTGTAATTTCATACAATATCTTTAGTGCACCTGTGTTTTGACTCTAGCCTGTCACATGAAGTCAAGTGTATAATTTTCTACTGTGGCATCATGGTGGTGCTGAAAGTTTTCAGATTCTAGAACACTGTGGATTTCAGGTTTTTTAACAGAGATGTTCAATGTATACTACAAACATAAGGCACTGAGGTTCCTATTGCATACATTAATTTCACCTCTTAGCTGAACAATCAGAGTCAGGGCAGATCTGCCACACGGAAAATATACATTTAGCTCTTCCACTTACTGTTTCCCGTCCTGCTGTTTGGATGTGCATAGCTGCTGCTGCAAGGAACAGCTCCTAGGGAGACCCTGACCACTCTCTGACTGGGCAGAGGACCACTCCCTGTTCAGCCCATTTCCAGAATCCTTCCCCGGCTGCTGTTATAGAAAACCTGTCGTTTGACATTGGCTGGACACATCTGTAGAAGGCCCAGTGGCCCAGAGTATCAATAAGATGGCATGCCTGCCCCAAAAGTCTTTAATCAAATAATCCAAATGTCTTGATTTCTCTTGGTTTATTTACATTAAATTCGGTCAGAATTTTTTTTCCTTGTACATATACCTTCTTGGAAAAGACAAGAATATCTTGGACCATCAAATTAGTTCAACCTGTTTTTCTAATACCTAACTGAGGCTAGCCATACCTGAGTTCAATTTTCACTTTTTAAAATATGCATTGAGCACCTATTAATGTGTCAAGCAAACCAAGCAAGCCAAATAAAGGCCATTAATAGTTTGACCATGGGCCGGGGATTTAGCTCAGTGGTTTCACCGCCTGCCACGCAAGCGCAAGGACCCAAGCTCTATCCCCAGTACCAAAAAAAAAAAAAAGTTTGACCATTAGTAGTTTAATGTCCACATAAATTGAGTTTTGCCACCAAATAAGTTTCTCCAACTGGCAGGGGGTGGGGGGTGGGGGGTTGAAAGGGGAAGACAACAATAACAAGAAATGGCCGAAGTGACAAATGCCATGAAAGAAGAACGGAAGGACACTGCAACAAGTTAGGGTAAGAGAAGTCAGCCAGCCTGGGGTGGAGGAAGACTAATTCAAGTGGAGTCCTGGAGGAGACATTAACCAGGGGATGATGGGAGGAGGCTGTTCCAGTCCCCAGCACAGAAATGGTGACTGGCAAGAGGGGGCAGCTTGACCACTGAGGGCCTTGTGGAGTTCCATCCTCATGCCAAGTGAGGTTACTAAAAGGTTTTAAGTAGAACAGCCTCAGCCAACCTGAATTTTAAATAATCTCTCCAGCTGCAGTAAAGAATTAAATGGATGGCTGAGAATGAATTAGAATTCTTGCAAAAGTCCAGGTAAGGGATGATGGTGGCTTAAACAGTGATACTGTGGAACTGGGTAGAAGTAAAGGGAGTCAGACACCCTCAAGACAAAAGCCAGAGGGCTCAGTGTCCTATTAGATATAGGAGTGAAAGACATAAGGGAAACTCAGGTTTCTGCTTTGAACAGAAAGACAGGCAGTGGAGTCCTACACTGAGGAGTGGCTTCAGTTAGAGGTAAGATGACGAGTCCAATACCACAAGTGCTGCCTTTGAGATACACTGGAGACAGCTGAGGGATGCCAGCTATTCAGCAGGGCAAGGGCAGGGGAGAGATGCTCAACTGGATTCATCAGTATCAGGATAGCAATCTCCTGGCAAGCATGTGAGGAGAGATGACCACCTGTTAAGGATGAGACAAGGTGGTGGAACTATCCAGCAAGACATTACGAAGGAGCAGCCAGGGAGGTGGAAGGTAAGCAACATAGGTATGGAATCACAAAAGAAAGGTCAGTGAAAAATAGCCCTGGATTTGGGGACCTAAAATGCATTTGCTGACTGATTTTAGTTAGTGTTTGCAGGGAAGAGTCAGTTTGTGAGAAACTGTTGAGAAATCAATGTAAGGCAAAGAAATGAACTCCAAAGTGTAAGCAAAGTTTTTCAAGAAAGTGGGCTATCAAGGGAAGAACAGAGAGGCCAGGGATTTAGCTCAGTGGTTCCGCCACCTGCCTCGACAGCACAAGGACCCGAGTTCGATCCTCAGTACCAAAAAAAAAAGGGAAGAGAGAGTAACGTCTAATGTCTAGGAGAGAATATGAGGCTGAATTTTTGTTTTGTTTTTAGATAAGAAAATTAAGTGCATTTAAAAGTTGATGGAAATGAGCCCTTATAAGAAAGGTCTGTTAAAGACAAGAGTTGAGAGGGCTATAATGATTAACAGAAGGTTCCAGAAATGAGCAGAGAGGCTGAACTCCACAGTGGAAGGGAGGGTCGACTTCATACTGGAGGAATACTTCTTCCATGGTTAAAGAAAGAGCCTGACACCGACAGGCTCACAGACCTTTAGTGAGAGAGTGCGGCGTTCCCACCTAATGGCTTCTAGCTGCCCTGTGTGACAGAAGGTAAAGTCAATTCTGAGAGTTAGCCATAAGGGAGGGTTGAAGATGAGTGGAGGAGGCATACATGAGCTACTGGGCAGTGCAGGAAGGAACAGGAGCTGGCCAGGACAACCTGTTGGGTAGCATGGAGTCACAGCTGAGGATGGAGACATGAGCCAGCCATGGCAACACCAGTCAGCCTGGATGTGACCTTGTCATGCAGCCTCAGCAGCTTGAGTCCAATGGACAGCCAGCAAATGGCTGGGTTAATGTGGAGCTAGGATGAGACCTGATCTGTGCAAGAAAAGGACAATAGGGCAAAGGAATTTAGGACATTGGTGGGGGGTGATAAAGGGATGGGCCATGGAATCTAGGTGGGTTACAGAGGTGAATATAAGTGGACAAGTGGCCAGCAGAAGAGGAGAGAGTAGACTTTTAAGGAATGGAAGTGGGCAGAGATCTAGAGCAATAAACACCTGGCCGGGGATTTAGCTCTGTGGTGCTGTGCCTGCCTTGAAAGCAAGCACAAGGTCCTGAGTTTGACCCCTGGTACCAAAAAAAGAAAAAGGAACACCTGTGGTTACAAAAAGTCAGAAGGTTGGGCAGTCAGGGCGCCCTGGGCTCAGTGAGATGAAGGTAAGAACAACAGGTGAGCGAACCAGATAATCTCTGCCAAATAAAACCACTTGCTAAGACCAGGCTTGCACCTGGTAAAGGGAAAGAGATGCAAAGAGCAGTATGAGGCAGAGGGGTGGTAGCAAAGTGACAGAGCACTTGCCTACCATGCACAAGGCTGTGTTCAATCCCCAGCACTGTGTGGTACACAAAGAATACAGAATATGAAGGCATCTTGCTTCCATTTATCACTAAAATGGCTTCATTCCTATAATGACTTAAAAGAGAACAGACTTGCTCAGCAGAAGAAAACAGAAGCTACTAAATACAATTTAAATTCTAATCTCTGCCATGGACTTACTATATGATGTGATATGATTTTTTAAAAATATAATCTAAGAATAGTTAAAATTTATTAGTAATTCTTCTATACCAGCTCCACAATGGAGAGGAGTGTTGATCTGTTACTGGAGAATGACACTTCTTCCACGTTGTCAGGGAAGGATGATGGGTCTGGCGCTTAAAAACATTACTTTTATTTAATTTAGTCCCTACAGTTCTGAGGTAGGTACTTTTATCATCCCTGATTTCCTGACAGGAAACTGAAACCTAAAGAGATTAAGTGGGTCTATGTACAAGTATAATTGCCCTGCTTTACCTCCCACAGGCCCCATATCCATAAATTCAACTATCCATGGATGGAACATGTTCCAAAAGAAAAAAAAAAAACCTGTCTGTATTGAACTTGTACAGACATTTTTCTTGTCATTATTCCCTGAACAATGCAGTATCACAACTACTTACATAGCATTTATATCAGTTATTATAGGTAACCTAGAAATAAGTTAAAATGGCCAAAAGGATGTGCATAAATTAGATGCAATTCTGCACCATTTTGATATCGACATTCTGGAACCATTTCTCTCTGAACACTGGGAAATGACTGTACTCTCAATTTTTCAGATAAGGAAGGTAATGTCAATTGATGAAGACTGAACCATTAAAGATGTTATAGGGCTGGGGATTTAGCTCAGTGGTGCTGTGCCTGCCTCATAAACGCAAGGTCCTGAATTCGATCCCTGGTACCAAAAAAAAAAAAAAAGATAGTATAGTTCACCTAAGGTTCACTTAAATTTTACATAATAATTTTACATGAAGACCCTAATCCTATTTATTTTTTTTTATTGGTACCGGGGATTGAACTCAGGTCCTTGCACTTGCGCAGCAGGCAGCGAAACCACTGAGCTAAATCCCCGGCCCCCATCCATGAGAGAATTTAACCCCATATTCGTCCTCCTGTTCAGGGAAAAAAGTCAATTTAAAATTAGTGAGAAAACAATCCAATGGGGTATTCTTGGAGCAGGATCCTCCCATCTCTGCCCTGATGGTTTGGAAAGAAATACAAAATTAAACACACAACAGAAAGGACACTAACGTACGAACGACAAGACGAACGGGCGCCACAACAGAAATGAAACTAAATCTTCCCTTGTTCCTCGTCAGGAACCTTGGGGTCAGGGGAGGCTTACCAGCCCGGCAGCCACCTCACTCCTGACTTAACAAACGGTTGCAACCGGCCAAAAACTTACCTCCAGAGGTTTTCTGAGGTCTGTGCCTGAGAGTCTCCTGCTGGATCCCGCCACAGAGTCTCGGCTGAACCAGGGTTCCTGCCCAGGGATCTCGCTGGGGCCTCCAAAATGTAAGACTGAGGGCCTTACCAAACGCTCCCAGGAGCTGACTACAGCGAAGAACACCCGGGAAGGAACACACGGGACAAGTTGGAAAGTAAAACAGACCTTAGCCTGGCCAGACGGCACTCCCAAAGCAAAGTAGCTTAGAGAGGCCCCTAATCCTATTTTTAAATGTTTAAAAATCTCAATACTAACCTATAGTTCTCTGAATTAGCATGCATTCCTTCTCCTTTGCAGAAAAGTGGCTTCTTCTTGAATTGCCAAAGTTAAAGCAATATTTATTCTTTCCCACGTCAAACAAAGTGCAGTTAAATACTGTTCTTCTCTCTCCCAGAGGTAAGCTGTTTTCAGCAAGCTTAACTGTTCTTTCCCCAGGACGTCTAGGGGCCTCCTTGAAGACAGTAACTACTCCTTGGACAAAGATACATGGTGGAGGCAAGATCATCACCTCCACCCTGGACTCACACATGAGTTCCGGCACCATCATCAACTTGTATCCAAATTTCTGGGCCAGGTCAATGGGTCCTGTAGAAGTAATGACCGAGTCTTGGCCAAGCAGCTTCAGCACCACGGTGACATAGGCTTCTGGCCCCACAGGTGCACAGCCAAACTCAACCCACTGACTTTGCATGAGATCTGTCCTTTTGCTGGTTCTTATTTCCAGTGGCTGTCCTGGACTTGTTCTTGTCTCAGGGAGACTGTTGGTGAAGATGACATCTACCAACATGCTGGGCTTGGCCATAGGAAATGGGCATAGAGGTTGACTGGCAAAAAGGCCTACCTGGAAGGTGCCTTCTGCTGCCTGGGACGTCCTATTCAAGTCAACATGAAAGACAGGCCATTCCACCTTAAGAAAGACACGCTTCTCCAGCCAGGGGACTAAAGTACTGTTGTCTGACACTTCAGGAGTCATGATGAACCAGTAATCACCTGCCTCTTTGAAGTAGAAGCACTCAAACTCGAGTGTTCCCTGGGACTCATTAGTTAGGAGATACTTGGTGATGACAGTCTGATTGGTGTTGGCCTCCAACAGCAGGACAGATACATTCCTCAGTGTCCCATTAGCACTATCAAAATACTGGAAATCCACTGACACTGTGCTGTTGCTCAGTGCTACATGGCCGGGCTCTCTCAAAAGAAGATATTCAGCTTCTCCAAGGACTGAAATGGGCAGAATTAGTGTTTAGAAGATGCATTTGAACAGCACCATTGGTGACACTGATGAAAACAATATTTCAGACACTAGAGAAGTCAGAACAAAGCTAAGGATGAAATGGCATACAGCTTCTGGGAGCTGGGCACTGAGCTTGTTCCATGCTAAGTGGCTCTGTTCTGTCACCACCTTTCATGAAGTTTAAAATAATGAGTTAGTTATTCACAACATTCAACATACACGTGCAATGAAAATCTATGAAGCTAGAATAACAGTTGACAGTTCTCAGGTTAAAAATCCAATGCCTCATATTTCTCATGTTAATCATATTCTCTGTTTAGGTATTTGGGGAAATGGATATTACAAAATTAGAGAAAACCTGGTTTGAAGGACACAATACAAACTGCTCTAGATTTTAAAATCTAAGAACCTAAGTTTACTTCAAAGTTATGTCTAACATTCAAGACAAGAACCTGGGAATTTTTATAACTAAAGGAACAAGTGTTCTCTATGTGAGATACAAATTTTTACGTCAATAAGAAACTTTATTCTGCATGGATCATCAAAGGGGTAAAGTGAACATTTATGTTATTTAGGTTTGTTCTTGGCAATTTTAATGACATTTCAGCAACTGGTGATGGCCTAAATAGGGCAAATGACTTCTAGTCTCCTGAGTATCATAGTTAGGACCAATCATATCTTTTAAAAAGAGGCCCAGCAGAGCAGCTGAAGTGAATAGTACAAAGAACACAAACACACAAGAATCCTTGTTTAGGGCCTGGGGATTTAGCTCAGTGGTTCTGCTGCTTGCCTCGCAAGCACAAGGTCCTGAGTTCGATCCCCCGTACCAAAGGGAAAAAAAAAAGGAATTCTTGTTTCTATTTTGTTTTCTTTTACCAAAGGAAAAGAAAAAAAGAATCCTTGTTTCTATTTTGTTTTATTTTACCAAAGGAAAAAAAAAGAATCCTTGTTTCTATTTTGTTTTATTTTACTTTATTTATTTATTTATTTATTTATTTATTTTTTATGGTACTGGGGATAGAACTCGGGTCCTTGCGTTTGTGGGGCAGGTGGCGGAACCACTGAGCTAAACCCCCCAGTCCCCCTTGTTTCTATTTTGAAACCTATCCAAATATATATCGAAGGCAGAATTTGGTGATGAGACAATCAGCTGGTCTATGGCTGGGTAAGAAATGATTCTGGACTTAGAGGACTGCAGCACACTTTAAGTTTGAAAAATAATTCATATAATTTGAATTTATTATTTCTACTATATATACCTCACCCGTGTATAATATATACATATCATATATTAAATATGTCCAAAGGGACTTGTGATTTTTTTGGTTTGGGTTTGTAGTCCAAAATACCCTTATAAGTATTCAATGAATGATTATTAGAAACAACACATGAGGGCCAGGGATTTAGCTCAGTGGTTTCACTGCCTGCTGCATAAGTGCAAGGACCCGAGTTCGATCCCCAGTACCAAAAAAAAAAAAAGAAAAGAAAGAAACAATACATAAATATATTGGTACATAGAAGTGTTACTTTAGTTAGTTCTGCATTCATCTATTTCTTATTTGAGATGAGGAGAAATAAAATATATAAAACTTGGGTAGACTTGAATGCTGGGTTACTACTTATATGAAATTTGTAATAGGGTAAAGTTGTTTTGTTTTTTCTCACTTAGGCAAAGCAGAAGTTGAGGGATGGATATTCTCTTGTGTCTAAGGCGGTTGATTCTTGTGCACCTTATCTCCTGGTTCACAGCCACTCTTATACCTTTTGTGAACTAGTGGCCAAAGAGACTCCAGCACTTACTGCAGCCCAAGGAAGGAGATAAGACTAAGAGTAAAGTCGTATTAATTTGAATCTAAAGGGTGCAGGATCATTTAGAGTGCATGTTAAGATTAAGAGGCACATGATAATTAGTTTATTAATAGGAATCTACTGTGAATGACAAGAATGAGGCTGATCAGACTCTAATTTGATGGGAGCCAATCAATGAAAGAAAGACACAGCACCAGCAAATAGGGGGTGTTCACTGAACGGAGAGATTGCTAATGTACTCCAGAGCTCCTGTTCCTGCAGATGAGCAGGTATTTTCATTTGGTTCTACCACATCCTTATTTCTCTATTTCTGAATTTCCCTTCTCCCCATTTCTTTAGTCTATATAAGCATGTTGATTTAAAAAAAAAAAACTAGTAATGGTATATTTTTTTCTGTATCAAAAGGAGATAATGGGGAAAAACAGATCTATGAAAATATCTTTTTTTTTTTTGGTACCAGGGATCGAACTCAGGACCTTGCGCTTGCAAGGCAGGCATGGTGCCACTGAGCTAAGTCCCCAGCCCTGAAAATATCTTCTTTTCCATTAGTGGCCTGTGTACTCAGCTTCTATTTCTATTGCATGCTCATTCAACTTTTGTTTCCATATTCAAGTAAGGCATTTTGCACTTAACAATAAACATCCTTGTATGCTTTGTTTAAATGAAGAATTTTGATATTTTATCATTATGAAACAAGGAAAGTAATAATTTCTGCAGGGGCTATTAAATGTAGAGGAATCTGTTTTTAAGTAGTAATAAGTTACTTTAAAGGAAATTAATCCAACACTGGTTTTTCTTAAGTATCTTCTTATCTAAATAAACTTTAAAAAAAGAAGTCTGAGAAAAGAGATCTACTGGATGAAAAGAACTACACGTGCTCTGTTCCATTTCACTAGCTATGCCACAGATATTATACAAGCCAGGATTCTCTGACTCTTGGATTACAATTTCTACATCAAATTTGAAGACAGTTTCCATCCTCACACCATTACTTGCTTAGTTATCTATGGAATACTTAGAAATCATCAAAAGTAGTGGCAATAATGTCATAGTATTGACTTTATTAGTTCAGTAGTTGCATAAAACTCTGAGAAATAAATTGTTTCTAGTTGAAACAAACTGAAGAGAACTAACTTTAAGCACCTACTATGTGGTCAGCCATTCAAGATATTCCACATTCATTTATTCTAACAACCTTGTGCAGTCAATGTTATTGCTAAAGTGGAAAGAGACTAAGAAACTTGTCTAAGTATACACTTGGGAAGGATAGAAGTTCACACTAGTTCCAAAGATACTGTAACAGTAAAACTCTCAACTGAAATCTTATAGAATATATAAAACATCAGTGTTGTGTTTATGTGTGGGTGGGTATAAAATGGCTTATACTGAAATGCCGAGAAATCGATCAAAGACAACTCAGGGTAACATGCTATTTTCTAATTTGTTAAAATAGTTGTTAGTTTTTTTAAGATTAAAAATATATTAAAGTAAAATTTGAATCAATTATGTAGAACCTGTAAATCACTTTCAGCAAACTCAGGGTTGCCAGATCACAGTTTAAAAGGTACCAATGGCCCTGCCCTGCATCCTCCACAAAGGAGCATCAGCATCAATGCATTTATAAACAACACATTCATATTTATTTAGTGATAACTATAGGATGAAGTATAGTCATAATACTCACCATAGTCACAGAGCACCACCAGCAACAGATTTGAAAAGTCCTTCAACATTGGTTTCATCCTGATCAGCAAAATCCCAAGTCTTTAGTCTCCTCATGTCCTTTTTCACAGCCAAATTGTGATTTTTTTCAAAAATGCCTGAAATTAGAACTCAAAAAAATGGTGACTCCACATAATGATTTTGAAATGACAAAGCTATTCTATAAAGTCAGACTTCCAAGGTAATATCAAAAGGAAAACAGGGAAGACACTAATTTTCCCTGGGCAATGATAAATAATTTTACTATTCCCTTTGGTTCCATTAAAGCTGACTTGTGAATAGTTAGGTATGCCCAATGCCAAAATTATCTTTGCAAAACACCAAAATCTTTATCTTTATAGAACATCCTTAAGTGGAGTTTGTTACTTGTTTAATTTTATCAAAGTAAACAGCAAATCTGCATAATACATTTTCACATTACTTATATGCTTGCCATTTCACACTGATCAATTGACTAAATTTTTGCCAAACTCATTTAGCATTGTGCTGTGTATGTCACCCTACTTCCACCCCTTGACCTGGCTTGCACAACTGGTGTATTGACTGGATTGTTTCATTTCTTGATTCCTAGGACTTTTATCCAAATGATCAAACCTTTGAAAAAGATAGCCAGTGTATTACAACTAAATGTAAACTCCATGTGGCCCTGACTCCTCGTTTAGTGTAGCCTAAAGACAAAACAGGTAAGTAACAATTATCATCTCCTGTCAGTCTTCCAATATTTCTTATTGCTAGTATGATTCATGCAGGAATCTTCCCAGACTACCTAGCAAGGCAGAGAAGACCTTACTGATCCAGAGTGATGTGTAGTAAAAGGCACTTATGTTGATACAAATATTAGACTATTCGAATATAGAAAAAGATGCAGGCCATGTAAGACCAGTTTTTCATATCAGAATCTAGCAAACTGTATTCTATTGAAAGTAACTAAGTATATATTTTCTTAATGTTTACTACCCCTCCGTTATTTATAGTTAAATATTTTTAAGGTGCTGGGGATCAAACCCAGGACCTCATGCACACTAGACAAGTACTGTACCACTGAACTACAACCCCAGTCCCATAGTTAATACTATTTTTAATGAGCAAGTATATTATATTCCAAATATATGTTACATCCCTGCAGTTAAGAACAGAAATAAACTGAATTAAGATTGACTGAAATAAGCCAAAATTCAATGAGAAGGAAACTAGTATGTCTCTATTAGGTTTCTTTCAGCAAGCAATGACTTATAAAGGGAATACTGTGCTTCCTGAAGTAGAAGCTGAGATTTGAAATGTAATTATGCAGATAAATAGGGCTCCCTCTCCTTGGCACACCCAAAAAGTTCTGATTTGGTGAAATTAGTCACAGATTTGACCGGTCCCTTCCCTGAACTTGGATAGGGAAACCTGGCCAAAAACAGCAGGTAAGCTCTCCAGGAAAGTATGGTGCGATCTCTGGAGGAGTTTGGGCAGTAGGGCAATTAAAACGTCTCCTTTAAGGGCAGGGATATACTTCAGTGGTGCCAACGGCTGCCTCGAAAGCAAAAGGTCCTGGGTTCAATCCCTGATACCAAAAAAAAAAAAAGTCTCCTTTAAGTCACTGATACACAATAACCAAACTGGAGCAAAGAAAACTCCCCAAAGTTGAGTCAGCTTTTCTCAAATTGCCTGCTTCCCCACGATAATCATTGACAGGGGGCATTAACTGATTTTTGTGATTATACTACATTTTTCTTCTTAAGAAAATAACCAGTAAGACACAGAATTGTGTGATAATGGAGTTCTAAATCAGAAATGGAATTATAAAATAAGCCAGACTACCTGGAAATCATAATATGAATTACGATCGTGACTATAATATACCTCTTTAATTTTTTTGTCTACCTTACTTGCTTATTTTCTTTCAACATGTTGGTACATATTCCAGTACTGGCTACCTACAATATTTGGCTTGAGAATCATTTTAAGAACGGAAGACCGGGCCGGGGATTTAGCTCTGGTTCTGGCGCCTGCCTTGCAAATGCAAGGATCCGAGTTCGATCCCCGGTACCAAAAAAAAAAAAAAAAAAGAACGTAAAACCTCAGGAACATCATTTAAACACATTTTAAAATATTTGTATAGGGGCTGGGTCTCAGAGGGAGAGCATTTGCCTAGCATGCTGATGGCCAAGCATTGGATTCCCAGCAACAAGAAACAAACAAAAACCCAGCTTATATACAACATTCACATACTTAAAAGTCTATACTCCCCAGCTGAGAAGGTGGGGAGAGGCTGTGAATATTCTCAATGACTAATGGCAACACCCAACTTTAAATCCCACGTTTTTGCTGAAACCACCTACATACCCTCATAGCTGTCCGAAAAGAAACTGAATTACTCTAACGTCCATGGGACCAATGACTTGCCAAAAAGGGAAAGCAGAAGCAAAGTACTTTTGTCCCTCTGACAAACATGCACATGCTCTTGTGTGTATCTAAGAATAATATTTATTAGCAGAAAATCCCAATTCCAAAGCCATTGGTGTAAACAGGCTTTATTTATACCTTCAGACGAGCGGCTCTGCCGGGGTCCCACGGGTTGGAAGCAGCTTCCCTGGGAACCGCGCACTCGCCGCCGCGGATACGAGCTTTCCAGAGGCGCGGGTCAAGCTTACACTAGGAAATCTAGGCTTACAGTGACCACAGAAAGCCCCTCCAGAAGGTCCTCTTGAAATGCTTCTATTCAAGTTGACCGTAACCCAAGAGTTTCTTTTTTTGCAAGGAACGTATTCTGCAACGCTCAGTATCCCAAGCTGCGATTTTTCAAAGGCCCCCAACACCTCGGATCCACCCACGCCGGCGGCCGGGAACTCGACCACGCCTGCGCCCGGGGACAGCTGAGCTCTGGCCAGACTCCGGGGTGCGAAGCCACCACCTTTTAAAAGTGCATCCCAAGAGGGCACAGGTGTTGCGAGGCGGGGACGCCACCGTCATCTGCGCTTTAGGGCTGCGGAGAGCCTCCCGGTCACGGGCATTTCCGACCCCGGCGGCACGCGCGCCCCCGCCGGCCGGGGCTCTTACCTCTCGGTCGAGCGGCCCGGCGCGGGCGAGGCGGAGGGGCGGCGAGACGCGAGACGCGCGGAGACCTCAGGAGCCGCAGGAAACGCGCTGAGAACCTCGCGTCCCGCCCGCGCGCCCGGCCCCGCCCCGGACGACCCGGGGGTGGCACCCGCAGGGCGGGGGTCATTCCGGACCGACCAGGGCTGCCCCCGCCCCTTCTGGGCAGAGCATCCTTTCCTGCCAGCCCCCAACTCGCCAGCTGCAGGACAGGAAACTGGCAGGAAACGAGCGCGCCCGGAAGGTCTCACAGACGGGTTGCGGCCCCCGCAGACTCAGATCTCCCCGCTGCACGCCCGTGCCCACCTCAGCCCACAGCCCGGACCCAGGGTTTTAAGGGCGAGGCTGCAGTCTCCCCACGCTTCGGATTCAGTCACTTCCTCGTTTTCTTCTGAGACCACAATAGAAATCACTGAAGTCTCATAATGTGTGGGCTGTAAATTTGATTTTCCAAATGTCTTTGAAGGGTTGCAAAAGAACAAAGTTCAGGTAAAGCGCATCTTTCGTTTTCCCAGATTTGGTGAATTAAAAAGAGCTGAATATTTAAAAAGGAAACTATGCAAATGTTAAAGCTGTCGTTAAAAGGAGAGGACGGACTTCCACATTATCAAACTGTGCTTGCTGACTAATGTGCCGTGCAGTTTACCACTTGCTTTCTTTTACCCCCACACATACCATTTAACACACAAAACTCGTGAATGGTGAATGGTGATGGAAATCAGAGCTCAGCCCCTGGAGAGGCAATGACTGGAAGAAGAGCCCGGGAATTGGGGGGGGGGGGGGCACGTGTTCTGTTGGTTAGGGAATGAATTACATGGATTTGCTCTGCTGTTTTGTGAACTCCTCCACTTAAGATCTGTATGTTTGTAAATTTCACCCCGTTTAAAAATATACCATTTGCAGCTCTTTGATCACTTCATTTTTGGAAAGGTAATACAGATACTTATGTATCATAATGTTCTAAGTCTTATATTTTCAAATAGTTAATACTAGCACTACTAACAAGTCCATCCTATCTAACTTTCAAGGGAAGCTTTATGATCATCCAGTTTCACTACTAGTATAATTATCTAATCTACTATCCACACATCAACTCAAGTTAGGATTTCTTTTCAAATATATGCCATAGTCCCCAGTACTTAAAGTTTTGAAAGCAAAAGCATAATGGAGAAGGCTTTAGAGGTAGACACAGCTATATTAAATTCCAGCCCTTCCAGTTTTTGTTGGAAATGTGGAGTACTTGTCTTTGATTTGTTGAGAAGTTTCTGTTCTACTTCTAGTCTCCTGATAGCTTTTACCATGAACAGCTGTGGAATTTAGTCCAATCCTTTTTCTCCAACTAGTGACAGGATCATATGGCTTTCTCCTTTCCTCTGTTAAAATGACTTTTGGGGGTGGATCTTCCAATGCTGAACCAACACTGCCATCCCTAACAAAACCACTTTCTACATACTGCCAGATCTGACTCTTCTAAGAGTTTGTTTTGTTAAACAAATTTCTATCTATGTTCATACTTTTTTCTTCTATTATCTTTATCCAGTTTTAGGATTAGCACAATGTTGATTTCCTAAAATGAGGGAAGAAGTGTTCCTTCTTTTTTCTACTTTAAGTGTTTGATATAATTTATCAGTTAAAATGTATATGAGCCTGCTGTTGTCATATAGGTAGGCTTTCAAGCTAGGAATATACTTTCTTTAATAGGTGCTATTCAAATTTTATATTTCCTCCAGAGTTAGTTTCATTAATTTGTCTTCTAAGTTACTTCTTTGAAGTTGTCAAATTTATTTCAAAAGATTTTTGTAATATGCTTTCTATATCCTTTTAAATTCTGTAAAATCTGTGGTAATGTCTCCTAGATCTTAATATTGTAATTTTAAAAATGTATAACTGATATTGTGTAACAGGAAGAAAAGGTCTAAAAGAGCAGGGGAATTGGGAGGGGTAGGGGAAGGGAAAAAAGGGAAAGGAAAAAATATGAGAAGAGGAAAAAAATGGAAACAAGGTCTTTGCAAATAGGGAAGGGTGGAGGGGGTGAAGGGAGGGCAAGGGAAGGGGAAAAAAATAAGAACCAAGAGACTCATGTAATGGTACAAGATCCCAATGATGAATATAACTGTATTTTATACCTAAAATGTACCAATAAAGTTAATGGGGAAAAATAAATAAATAATAAATAAATAAATAAATATATGGAAAAAAAAAATTCCAGCCCTTCCTAAAATCCTAAGTAAATGACTTCTCCTTCCTTCTCTTCACCATAAAAGGCATATTACAGTGAAGTTTTGTGTTAATTGAAACATGTAGAAAGCAACTTACTATATGTCAATATTTTCAAAGACATTTTTCTCACAAAGCCACTCTTTGGGGAGGGGGGACCTAAACCCAGGTACAAGTGACTATTGATATGCTTGGTAATGGGAGGTGGGGGTGAGACAGGGTCTTGTCATGTAATTCAGGGTGGCCTTTAAGTCACTCAGGCTGGCTTTGAACTCCAGGTGATCCTCCTGCCTCGGCCTCCAGAGTGCTGAGGTTATAGATGTGTGCCACCATGGCTGGCTTCATTTTTAAAATAACAGCTTTATTGAGATGCTTGGTCATTTTTGTCTTAAAATTGTTACCAAATCGAAGTGGATTAAAGATTTAAATATTAAGACAGAAACACTAAATTTACTGGAAGATACGTTAGGGAGAACTCTTGAAGACACTGGCACAGGAAAAGACTTTATGAACAAAACCCCAGTAGCACGGGAACTAGCACAAAGAATCAACAACTGGGATCTCAGCTTATTAAAAAATTTCTGCACTGCAAGAGAAACCACCAACAGAGCTAAGAGACAACCTACAATGTGGTTAAAATTTTTCAGCAGTTATACCTTAGACAAAGGACTACTATCTAGAATATATAAAGAACTGAAAAAAAACAGACCTCCCAAATTCAAAGACCCAATTCAAAAATGGGCATCTGAAATGAACAGACATTTCTCAATGAAGTAAAAGCAGCAAATAAATATATGAAAAAATGTTCAACATCACTGGTTATTCAAGAGATGCAGATGAAAACAACATTGAGATTCCACCCCACCCCAGAAAGAATGGCTATTAAGAAATCATCCAATAACAAATGCTGGGGGTGGTGTGGGGAGAAAGGAACCCTTCTCCATTGTTGGTGGGAGTGCAGACTGGTACAACCACTGTGGAAATCAGTATGGAGATACCTCAAAGAACTAGGCTTAGAGGTCCCATTCGACCCAGCTATTCCCCTGCTGGGTATCTTCCCCAAAGAATTAAAAGAATCATACCACAGCGATATATGTGCACCCATGTTCATAGCAGCACAGTTCACAATAGGGAAAGCTTGAAAGCAGCCCAAGTGCCCATTAACTGGAGACTGGATAAAGAAGTTGTGGGGTTTTTTTATAAAATGGAATACTACTCAGCCATAAAGAACGAGAAACTAGTCATTTATAGCTAAATGAATGCATATTGAGGCCATCCTCTTAAGTAAAATAAATAGGACACATGTGTGAATACCGAATAGTTTCTCTAGTGTAAGAAACTGAAAGTGTAATTAAGATACACAAGGATAAAATGGCCTAATAACATTTCTCAGATTGTGTTTCCATCGCATGTCATAAGACTGCATTGAAATTTAAATTAGGGATAAGTTTGGTTTATGTGGAGTCTGCTAACTGGAGTTTTTTTCCAGACCACTGTTTGTTCAACGTTGGTTTTGGGGATCTTTCTGAAACAAATCACATCCTCTGGTTTCTTGTTGGTGCTTGAGATGTTTTCTTAAGTTATATGGAAAAACGCTTAAGTGCTTTTCAGTTTTGTTTTGTTTGAGTTCTACTGTATTTGAATATTATTGTAGTTTTTTCCCCTTGCATTGTTTTTCTTTGAATGGTTTTAATTTCTGTTATGTGTGTGTTTGATAATAAAGTTATTTTTTAAAAATTGTTACCAAAATGTATTACTGTCTATATTAAACAGTTAAGATGTAGTTTAAGCTTCTCTGAAATAAAGACACATAAAATGAGGGGAAAATGCTTGCACAAGAGGTCTGAACTAAACTGGCTCTCAGGCCAGGGATTTAGCTCAGTGATTCTGCCACCTGCCTCAAAAGCGCAAGGTCCTGAGTTTGATCCCCAGTACCAAAAACAAAAAAAAAACCCTGGCTCTCAAGATACTTTGAACTCTTTCTGGATCAGCAACTGGTCTAGTGATCTGTGCAAATTATGTAAAATGTATACACTCAGTAACTCCCTGTATACACATGCTTTTGTTTCACAAGGTAATGCTCTAAGATGAAAGCCTTAGCTGACTCATGATTTCCTATCAGGACACAAGGAAGAACATGAATGACCCAATTTTCACACTGTAATAATAGCTTATAAAAACAAGACCTTACAGGTATGTGACCTGACTTTTGGGGAGTGTTACCCACATCACAGATAGGGCCCATGTCTTGGAATTTGAATAAGTCAGTGCAGATCTCAGGCAGGCTGAACCATGACAAATCTGATTGGGAAGATTCTTGGGGAAACAATAAAGGGACAGATTTGGGTCTGTTAGTCAACTCAAGATAGTACTATAATCCTTCACTCAAATAAAGAAAGCACTATAATCCATCACTCAAATCAGTTAGTACTCAACTAGGAATCTACCATATACTATCACTGATGTAGGACAGTGAGGATTCAGAAATGTTGTGAGTTTTCGAACTTCAAAGAAATTCAGTTTCTGTTTCTTATGGTATCAAAACAATTAAAGAGTAAAACAAAGGGCCAAGGCGCCGGACCTGCCTTGCAAGGTCCAGAGTTAATCCCTGGTACTAGAAAAAAAAAAGAGTAAAACAAAATATAATTGAGTATATGAACAGATAATAACTCTTACAGAGTTTAGCAACAAAAGAGCTGGGCACTGGAAAGATTATTCTAGAGCTGGTGGAACCGAGCAAAGTATGAGTTGGATTACTGTGCATGAATGGAAAAAAGTAATACAAGGAAGTCTGGACAGACAAGGGGACTTGTCCAGGAAAGGGAACCCAATGCCCTTAGGGGCACTCTCTTGTTTTTGTGAGCCTAGTTTACCAGGTCCTTCCCCTCAAGAGGCCATCAGAACTGAAGGCTCCTCACTCCACAGCATGGTCCTTGTGCCCCTACCAGAGCACTTACTCCACTCACACTTTAATGAATGGTGCTTTGTGTCTACTTCCCCCATGAGGCCACCTTTTTAAGGGCAGGCTGTATCTTATTCACCTTTGTATCTTCCCCAGTGCCCAGAGTCCCACAAAGTTTCTCACAAAATCTGTATGTAGTATAAAACATGGTTTTACAAAACAAAACAAAACAAAACATGGTTTTACAAATTGAATGAGCTAAAGTAGGATAAAGTGAAGGCACAGTATAAACAGGTGTATACATCAAAGTTCATTCATTGAATAAATCTTTATTGAATGCTTATTGTGTGCCAGGCCCTGTTCTAGGCCTGGGGATATATTCATGAACACAGAAGAAAAGAACTCTGCACTGTGGAGCTTACACTGTAGATTGGGATGGCATTGGCAATACATTTACATAAATACAACCATACCTATTGGCAAAAAAACACACACATTTAAACTGTAATTATTAATACTAGAAAAGTCTACTGGTGATGTGCAGTTTTATTATACATTGTACTTACTATGTGCATGATATATTCAGATCTACATATCACTCCACAGGGATTCATACCATCAGAGGAAACTTTATTGGCAATTTAAGAGATTTAAAGGATCGTTTTGAGCATGCTTTATGTTGTCCTTCAGCAGTCTTTAAAACCTAACCACCTTACAAGTTGTAATTCCACTGTACCAAAATGAAGTCTCTGCGACTGCTGGGCAAAAGAGAACCATTTTAAGGATATGAGTATGAGAACAATAACATGATGAATTCACATCTGGTCCACCTGGTCTGGTAACAAAGAACAAGACACAGCACATCCACAATCAGTCCACAGTGGAATTCACAACAAGAATTTTAAGAAAAAAAAGGAAAGAAACAGTCCATGCCTCATTTCCCATTTTTAAAAGGTAACTAAAACAGTAAGACCTCAAAGTCATAAATATTTATAAGCAATGCTTAATTATAAAATTCAAAAGAAAAATTCTTAACATTCTGGCTTAGTATGACTAAATGTCTATCATTTTCATATATTTTTCAGAGTATTTTAAAAAATACCAAGTTAAGAAAATCATCTTAAAATTTTGCAATAATTTTACTTTATATACATTAATACCAATCAGTTAACCCTGAAAACAACCTTTACTTATACAATGTAAAAAAATTATCCTTGATAGTAAATGACTAGAAATATTCTATTATCATAAAGCTACAAAGAGATTTATGCTCTTAAGAGCAAAGTTAGGAAAACAAAAATAATTACGCCAGTGAGAAGCACCAAGGGAGAACTTTTTTTGCACTTATAGGGCCTGACTGGTTGACCTCTATCAATAAGGGGCCAAAATAACACCTCATTTGGCAAAAAATAAAAATACAGAGGTCTGGAAACAGTGAAGGATGCCCATTTTAAAAATACAATAACACAAATCAATCATACTTGTTTTTAAATTATGTGACATTTGCAAAGTATATTCATATGTCATTTTTCTTCCTGTTTAGTTCACTTTATATAACTCAAGATTGCCCCATTTTTGTTTGTTAATCTGTTGCTACACTAAAGTAAATAAATATACTGATTTATATAGGTTTACCATAATGAATCCAAACCATTAGAGCTAGATCCAACAGCTCCAATGACCTTATTTGCAATGATTTCAACTGCTAAAGCAAGCTCCTTTTTCTGTTAATTTCAAGAAGCTTAGCCAGATGTCCTGGTGTGTCTGTGTGTGCACACGTGTGTATGTGTGTGTACAAGTCTGCCAGAGCCATGTGACAGTGTGTGCAACCCAGAGAGAGGCAAGACATAAAAACAAACTTACACAATGGTCCAACTAACCCCTAAAAAACTTGGGCAGCCAGACACTCACTGAATTAACCCCCCAAATAAACCTGAGGCTGAGCAATGAGGTAATTAGGGGATTTGTCACCACAATGAACAGTCAGTGACAGGTTTGGAAAATGAAGACTAAAGCAGAATGCCTTGGCCCCAGCATTCCCATGACAATGGAGAGCACAAAGCACAAACAGCCACCGTTCAGAAAGGAACCAAGGTTGGGATTCCCTGGCTCTGTGGCTGAGGACCTCAGCACTTCCCCAGAGGGCATTATCAGCGACCTCTAGCCATGGCTTCACCTTACCGAGTAAAAACCTGTCTTAGAGGTCCCAAAGTGTGCACCTGGGCATCCCTCCCCTGGTCTCATGGCTCCCTCAGTGCAGATACTATCCCTTCCAGAGGCTTGGCAAAAACCACCGCTTCCTTCCTACTCCCAAATCAGTCTCAGAAAGGGAGCTCCCGTCTGTCCCATGGGTCCCTGAGTATGAGTAATGTCAACACGCTGTACACTGGAGAGTAGTAACATACAAAGTCAGGCAGTCTACTTTAAAATTCAAGCAATCTGCAGGTGATATTAGTCAGTTTATATTTTCTCAGTAACATGTTTTACCAAGATAGTTTTCTCTACACAACGTACAATGTATAGGGCAAAGAAAATAATATTGCTGGAATATGACAAAGATTTTTAAAGTTCAGTGTTAAGACTCTTCTGAGAGACAGTAAAGGAGCTATATTACTTTTCTATTTCTCACCCTTGACTTCCAGGTAAAAGAGCACTATGGTTCCTGTGAAGTTGGTTTCTTCTACTCTTCAACTTGCACAACAATCCTAGGGAATTCCTAGCTGTCTGCCTCCCAAATCTGTAATCACAACTCTGGGCATGTCTATACAGCTCTTTAATTCACCTTCAAAATCCACAGCATTTTTTAAACAAAATTATATAGCTGCATTCTTTAAATGCCAGCCATGAAATCATCACTAAAAAAAATAAATAAAAAGAAACTAGTTGGAGTTTATTTACATCCTTTTTTTTTTTTTTTTCCTATGCTGAGGATGGAGCCCAGGGCCTTGTGCATGGCGCACTCCCACTGGGCCACACCCCACCAATCCTTTTCTAAAGGTGTGTTATTTACTCTGTTGAAGACATGCTTAGGACTGCCTTGAAAAGCCCTTAGTTGAGCCTTGAACAGCATTCTGTAGTTTGATATTTTGTTCCAGTGTTGTTGGGTTCTTAAACTACCCTGTAGCAACCACTTCCTTATGCACCCCCTGCCCCAAGTGGGCATATCAGACATAGAGTAAAACATTTTCAATTCAGTGAACACCAAAACAATAATCTAACCTAAACATGCAGCTGCTTTTCTTTTTCTTTCCCCCAAGAATTTAAATTCTCTACAAAATGGTTAGATATGGGGATCAAGTTAAAATCCACGTTTCAAGTTAAATTCTGAAGGTTCTGCACAGATATAGCATGACTTTAAATTCATACTAGTATTCATTTTTCTATATTTTCTTTACACATCCTAAATAAGCTTCCAGGACCATAATATGTAAGGAGTGACTTTAAAAGTTTTATATTATACTGTGAAGTTCTATTGAATTCCCAGTTTATCAGGATTTACCTATTAGCTCAATGCCATACAATTGCTACACAGTGCAAGTGTATGGACACAAAGTATTTCAAATGCAAAACCCTTAGCTCTGTGTCATAAATAAATTTGGGTAAAACCGTAAGCCTTCCACTGAGTCATCTCGGCAAAGATGGCCCATCTTTTCTGCAAGCAGCAACCTAGGAATGAAGAGAAGAAAACATAATCATCTGCCCATTCACAAACACAAACACAAACACAAGTTGTAATGAAGCACAGGGTCCTTATTTACCTTTCTTTGGCCAGGAGAACAGACATTCCCACAAGCTTAGCAAACTCTTCTGATGTTAGGGATCCCTTTTCTGAAACCTAACACAGCAGAAAAAAATGTGACTAATTTAGTTAGATACCTACCTAGGTACCAACCATGCAGAATATATACCAATATATGCAGGAAATGATTTACTGAATTTTCTACTAAAATCCAAATAATATTCACTTCACTATAGAACTAAACCTTAACTGACACTTAGTTCTACAAAAATTAAAGGACCCACAACAAATAGAGCAGAGGCTAAAACAGCCACATGAATCCCTTTATAATGTATCAAAGCAATGTACTAAGACCTAGAAAGGATATTGAATGTTCTGAAAAGAAACATGTAACAAATTCTAATTGACTGTGTATTACATGCTCCAGTAAAGGACCCAAATACATATAGGTTTAATTTTAAATATGTAGTAGAAATATCTATAGTCTTGAAGTTTTCATCTAGCTTAAAATGAGGCATGTAATAAATATGAAGTATTCAAATTATACAGGCTTAGCATAGAAGCTATAACAGTATTATTTTAGGTATCCTAATGAGTAATATTGGCAGTTTGGTCAATAAATTCCATCTAAACTACAGTTACTTATTTGTAAAGCACTTATCTCACAGAATAACTTCTGGTTTTATAATGCTGCTTATGTAGGTGTTAAAGAAAAAATTTAATTCTGTACAGCATTCTGATTAACAAATAAAAACCTGTTCTAACACAGAGCTTGTAGAGAAAATCAAGCATCTCACTAATTCTAATTCTTCTTACTTCTAAGAAGTTAAAGGGGTCAATAAGCTTCCAAAATCTTTTTAAGGTATGACTATGACTAATACATATTCATTGTGAATAACAAGCCATTTTTAATTTAGTCTCTGAATGTTACTTCATAGGGGCATTAAATCCAACAGGAAATCCTGCTCCTCAAGTCTCTAAGCACTTGGATGTTGGTGGCAAGCTCTAATGACTGGAGGAAACTGGGTTCACATACTGTCTCCAGGGCTGAGGCCACCATTTCCTCTTCCTTGTGGGACTGAAGCTCAATTACCATGACTCCACTGTCAAACACCCGGAGCCTGGAAACCAGGGATGTGAGAACAAAGTCATGAAACATCTAGAATATCCAACCACTAAGTAGAACCACATACTTTTTAACTTTCTTTTACATCCAGGCCTGAGGACAATGTTCACCTCAAAACAACATTTAAAACAAAATGACTGAAAGTAGAGAACTAAAGGGCACATGAATTAACAGATATTGCAATAAAATTATGAACTAAAATCCACAGCAATAAGATACCTACTTTTTTTAACCTGAGAAGGAAAATATAATTTAGAGCTAACCATCTGCATTTCTGAATCTCCAGAGACTAACACAAACCACTGGGAAGGTTATTATGACCTGGGAGGAACTCACATTCTTATCTTCTTTCTGAAAATCACAAGAGTCTGACTATGAGCCCCATTAGGACACACCCAGCCCTGATAGGATGGAAGCCAGGATGCCAGGATGCCAGAAGACTTGTAGTACCAGGTGAACTCTGGGCATATATAATGTAATTTTAAGAGGGCAATATTTGTCTTGCCAAGCAGGATGGTAAACTTGGCTGAGCTTTCCAATTTACCCTATGCAGAATCATGATTACAGATGGCAAACTTCCTGTGGACGTTCCTTTACCTGAGAGGTAATTTCAGTACTTCCAGCATCTTGCACGCATTTACTAAATCTTCTGGTGAGAGCAACTGATGGGGAAAAGAAATCCAGTTACATTGCAAATTAATAATGTGATGCTATACAACTGTAATGATTACAAAAACAGAGTAAGAAATTTTTTAAATTATCAATAAGGATTTCATGTGACTTAATCATTATAATGCAAAAAGGATTAATGGAGGAGCTAAAGATTTCAATTCATTAAAGCAGTGCTATTCATAGAAATGTAATGCAGGCTATATATATAACTTTAAATTTTCCAAAAGCCACATAAGAGGTTAAAGGGGTAGGAATGGAGCTCAGTGGCAAGGCTCTGTATTCAAACTCCAGCACCACAACAAAAAAAAATGGTTTTTTTTGTTTGTTTGTTTTGTTTTGGTACCGAGAATCGAACTCGGGTCCTTGCACTTGCACAGCAGGCGGCGAAACCACTGAGCTAAAAGGCCCAAAAATGTTTTGAGATACTGACATTTAACTTTCTTTATTTTGTACACAGTCTTCTAAATCTAGTATGTTACAAGTTCATAACTGTCCCAGATAGCAAATGAGTAGCTACCCTTTTGCATGGTGACAAGCACAGCTCTGAGTCACACAGGATGATCCCAGAGCCTGCCAGGCCTGGATCCAAATCCCTGTTAGAGCACTGTTTCCAGTCATGGCCTTGGTCAAGTTATTTAATGGAAAACTCAATTTCCTCATCCTTAAACTATCCCTGAGATAGGGATAGTGGAGTAGGTACCTCACTGAGTTCCTGGAGGGATAATGAGGTAACATGTGCAGAATGCCTGATGGACAGTAAGAACTTAGCGACGGCAGCTGTGATGACTATTCAAATAAAGATAGAACAGAGCCTTAACTTGTGAGACTGGGGTGAGGCTGGAAAGATGTATGTGAGTCATTTGCACAGGTGACTGCTGACACCACAACACTGCATTTGACTGCTAGGGTACAGGGTACCCAAGAGAATCCTGGAGCCATATGTGTATGACAGGCCAATGACAGCTAAGGATAGCCACTGATGATATACACCCAAGGGGGCCGGGGATTTAGCTCAGTGGTTCTGCGGCCTGCCTCAAAAGTGCAAGGAACTGAGTTCAATCCCCGGTACCAAAAAAAAAAAAAAATTCTCCCTGATATACTACCAAGGAAGGTGGCTTTCCCTTTGTACTATCTACATGGGAATCTGTGTCCAGCCAAGTTAATTCAAGAGTTAACTATTGCAGAGAATAAGCTTCCTGCACATCTTCACTCATCACAACACAAATGCAGAATATTAGAGCTGAAAGTTATTGATCAGTCCAAACCCTTACCTTGAAGGTAAAAAACTGAGTCCTTGAGACGATAAGTAAGCTACCCAAGGTCACTCAGCAAACCACTAACAAACCAAGAACACAATCTACCTCTTAGATCCCAAAACAGTATTCTTTTCACCACACCATACTGCTTCTCAAAATAGCTCTGACATTCACAACCCTTCCTCAAATTGTATTCACTGTGGGAGAACTTGTATTACATCAAGAAAGTCTATATTTAGCTAGAAAAGTATCTAAATATGGTATTCTTACTTCCATTCCTCGAGCTCGGTTTACTAAACAGTACACTTCTGTGAGTGACATTATTCCCCCTCGCTCCTGTTAAAATATGAAAAACAAGTAAAATTAGCACCAGTAAGTATTTCTTAGCAAAATTCGTAATCAGAGCAAAATCACAAATCAGAAAATTCTTGTTTTTAAAATTGTATTTATACAGTTTTCTTGTGTATAAGGGGTGACAGAAAAATACATTTAGTGTTTAAATTTTTTAAAATTTTACAGTAAAAGCGATTGTCATTAATCTGTCTTAAAATATTCTTCACTTTGAATGCTTACCCTATTGTTCTTGCTACTTTCTGAAACAGTCCCGGAAGCCCTCTTTTATGAGTACCTTTAGTTACGCTATCATGGCTGCTTCAATGTCCTGAATCAATTTAATACATTTACCTTTCATGGTCATTTTGACTTTGAGGAAGAGCCACAAGTCACACAGCACCAGATCCAATGAATAAGGTAGATGAGGACATACTTGTAATGTTTTTATTTGACAGAAATTGCTATAAACGATAGATCAACGAGGAGTGTTCAAAAAATATGAATGTTTAAATTTAAAAATGTATTACAGTAAAAGACACATTGCCATTAATACCCTCAAAATACTCCCTTCTCACTTCAAACACAATTATCCCATTGTTCTTGTTTTTATTTTTCCATTGTTCTTGTTAATGTATCTTTTACTGTAGAAAGTTTTTAAAATTTAAACATTCGGAGGAGATGGGGAAAGGAAAGAATGGAAAGGAAAAATTATGAGAAAAGAAAAAAAAAGGGAAATGAAGTATGTAAATAGGGAAGGGCGCACAGGAAATGGGGAAAAAATAAGAACCAAGATACATCATGTACAGGTACAAGCACCCAAAGATAAATGTAAATGTACTGTATACCTAAAATGTACCAATAAAAGAATTTAAGTAAAAAAACAACAACAAATAAATAAATAAAATTTAAACATTCAACATATTTTTCAATCACCACTTATCTCTCAAAATTTCAGTATTTGGACCGATGTCATTATTAGTGCTTTAGCATTTACTTAAATGAAAAGGGGCTCCCAACTACATTTGGGGGGGCCGGGGATTTAGCTCCGTGGTTCCGTCGTCTGCCTCGCAAGCGCAAGGTCCTGAGTTCAATCTCCAGTACCAAAAAAAAAAAAGCAAACCCAAAAATAAGACACAGATCAATCAAATGTAATGTTGAAAAGACAAACTGTACGATAAAACATAAACACTATTTGGATATTTGGTGATATTAAGGATTTAAATTTGGGGGAATATGAAATGAAATTACATTTATGTATAAAGGAAATCTTATAATTACTGAAATACTTATAGATAAAATGATGTGATGTTTGGGATTTGCTTTGAAATAATTTTGAATGGACATTGGTTTATAGATGAAGCTGGATAAAAGGCTTACAGAGGGCTGTGGATTTAGCTCAGTGGTTTCACCACCTGCTGCGCAAGCGCAAGGACCCGAGGTCGAGCCCCAGTACCAAAAACAAAAAAACAAAAAAGGCTTACAGAGATTCATTATGTTATTTATTCTGGCATAAGCTTGACATAGTTCTTTTTTTTTCTGGTACCGGGGATCGAACTCGGGACCTTGCGCTTGCAAGGCAGGCAGCGACACCACTGAGCTAAACCCCCAGCCCTTGCTTGACATATTTCTTAAACATGTGCTTTAAAAAGTTTTGATCACCTGAATGCTGTTAGACTAGATGAATATGTATTGTAGAATTATTAACAGTATACTAAACATTAAAGATTAGATATACAGAAATATATCTATAGAGACATCACATTTCTTTTAAAAATAAAAACACTATCAAATAGACTTAGAAAGTTAGACGTCTGAGGTTGGGGATTTAACCCAGTGGTTCCGACACCTGCCTCGCAAGCGCAAGGACCCAAGGTCGATCCCCAGTACCAAAAAAAAAAAAAGAAAGGCAATTTAGACTATTACAAAGACTCATTAATAAGTAAACTAAGCTAATTTTAATATTCATAAAGAAAAAAAAATGTCAATTGATAATAACCCCACCATGAAAGGAGTTATGCTCTTAAGATTTCTGATAATATGGACATAGTTAACAGTTTTAAAAGTACCCTTAGGTTTAGTTTTACCTCTAAAGGTGCCTGCAATATTCCAGCCAGCTGTTTGGCCAGCTGCATGTGGTACTGTGTGCCTGAGCCGTAGGTTTCCCTGGTAACTGGGTTAGCTATTCCCATGCTCAGCAAGTAGGACTTAAATCTGATCGTCTACAATGAGAGGAAAAAATGCATAAAAAGATTTCAGGATTAGACTCTCCACCTCAACATCTGAAATCTTTTCATCATAAGTGCAATCTGCTCAATTATTTCTCTAGATACCCATTTCTCCTACTGTGCTTCTATTCTGTGAACTATAAGGCAATGGATGTATAATAGTTTTTTGCAGAAACCTAATCTCCATTCTTCTATCGTGGCCTCTCATACCCTGTTCACTTCACAAATTTGGTGCAAGAGAACATTTAGATAATGACTATTTTATATTTAACACCAACCAAATGATATAACCAAAAACTTAAAATATGGATGTGTCCATAATGTAGACAAATTTCATGAACAGAGATCAAGTCGAGGGATAACTACAGCCAAGTATGGCGCAAACGCTATAATCCCAGTACTCTAGGAGACTGAGGCAGGAGGATTGCAAGTTTGAGCCCAGCCTGGGTAACTTAGCAAGACTTTGTCTCAAAATAAAAAATAAAAGAGGAGGGTCAGAGATTTAGCTCAGGGTTCCACTGCCTACCTTGCAAGCGCAAGGACCTGAGTTTGATCCCTGGAACCAAAACAAAAAAAAATAAAATAAAATAAAAGAGGGGGTTGAGGATGTAGCTTAGTGCAAAGGCTCTAGCTTTAATTCCCAGCACAGCCCCCCAAAAAAGCAATCTGGTAAATCACAAAAATGTCACTGTTACTGGTGCTATTGATGTAATCTGCTTTCTAATGCTTTAAAAAAAAAAAGCATCCTGGGCTGGGGATTTAGCTCAGTGATTCTGCTGCCTGCCTCATAAGCGCAAGGGCCCAAGTTCGATCCCCAGTACCAAAAAAAAAAAAGCCTCTTTACCTCATCTTCTGTAATGTCACCTTGCTTTTCTTTAATTTTATTAGCAATTGATTTTGATAATTCCACCATTTCTTTAGCCTGTCAAAAGAAAAGACTGAAAAGAAATAATGTTCCCAAAATATCTTCTAACAAAACACGTATTTTCAAAATGGTGTTATAACTGGTATGAATTTCAGAGGTGTAAATGACATATACCTTGATCATTAACTTGCTGAGGTCTTCAAAGGCCTGAAATGAGGAAAGAAATGTTTGTTGGAATCTGTCTAAAGAATTAAAATATTTTAAAGCAATGAAGCACCACCTCTATTTTCCTCCCTATCATATAAATTTATGAAGTTTTCTTACAAATATAACTTAATAAAATAATTATATAAATAATACATATATTTTATTCTAAAAGTGACATTTTAGCTAAGAAAATATTTTCTAAAACAAACTGTAACAAAAACATCAAATTTTCAAAGAGATTAACTGTTATTATGGATCAAACATTAAAAAATAACATTCAGTTCACAAAATATTATTCACTGTATTTAACACAAATAAGAAAATATGTCGCCTGCCTCACAAGCGCAACTGAGTTCGATCCCCGGTACCAAAAAAAAGAAAATATGTCACTAGTTTGCCTAATAGGAGATCAAGAATCAAAGGCATTATAAATTTTTCCTGGCTGAAGATGCCAATACACAGCTGCAAGAATACTTTCTGGGACACAATAATTTTTATTGTAGTAGCAGGTATGATTTAACTGAAACAGTAAGCCTAAGCCTCTGAGAATTAACCTTTTATAACTGTGAATATGGTGTATATCAGACACAAAAAAAGCATTCATGCCAGATGTGGTAGCACATGCGTATAATCCCAGCACTCAGGAGGCTGAGGCACAAAGATCATCATGAGTTCAATGACAGCCTGGGCTACATAATGAGACCTTGTCTCAAATAACGCCCCCAAAAAAGCATTCAAATACCACCAAACATATCTGAATAAAACCCATCCATTGCTTCATTTACTACAACAAATATTCAAAGGCCTCTTCAAATTTAATCAGACATATTTCTTTTTTCTTTCTTTTTTTTTTTTTGGTACCAGGATAGAACTCAGGACCTTGAGCTTGTGAGATAGGTGGTGGAACCAATGAGCTAAATCCCCGGCCCCAACATGTTTCTAATATATTATTTCAAGTTACTGAAAATTTACTGCCTTTGTAGAATTTCTTGTCTAACTGATAAGCACAGATGTTATTTTTTAAATCAATTAAACAATGAAAAATCGGTCCATATAGTGGTCTGATATATACACTATAATCATGGCTCAGGGCTCAGATCAGCTTATATTCATCTGCAGGAAGGTATTCCTCATCTGCTAACAGATTCTGCTAAAAGAATAGTGTGGTATAAGATTCTTATGGCCAGCTCACTAAGGCTTACAAGGAAAACAAAAGAGAATGTGCACACACCTAACAGGAATTTCCTCAGATAAACAAAAAGCTTAAATAATGGATTCTTATCAGCAGCCACCAGCAGATGCAGGAAACTCTTTGTGGGAAGCTCTGGGCACCAGCTCTGAAACTAAGGCAACTCTGACATTTAAATGGGGGGCAAATCATACACAGAAATTTTACGTACTATTTACTCTGACTCTATAAAATACAAGTAAGTTCGATCCCCGGTACCAAAAAAGAAAGAAAAAATATGTAAATATACAGATTTCTTTTACTTGTGTAAAGAAAACTAGTAAGAATTTTATATGGTAAATCATTCATTATATTTTCATAGAAAACTATTCTTAATAAGTCCACATAAAATCATCTACTAGCCTTTACTGACTAGATAGTCAATAAAAAGTATAAATGTGTCGATCCCTAGTACCAAAAAAAAAAAGTATAAATGTATTTCAGATCTATAAAAATTTCAAGTAATTGAAAAGTAAAAGCTTCCTCACTTTTATTTCTATTTTCTAAAATTTGAAATTAACCAATTATCAAAAAATGGGTGAGAAATCTACAATAAAAATTAAAGCAAAATGGAAGATATGCATACCCATTCAATTATTTCATCTGCCAGTTTACAGAAAATTCTACGGCTCTACTACACCCAGGATCAAATTTCCAAATTTCCAAGATGATACCCGTTTTAAAACTACAAGTAACCTCATAAGCTGACTTATAGAATTATTTTGTTACTTTCAGTCATTACTTTGGTTATTAGTTTCAGTGACTATGATTATATATTTGAATTTCTACTCTCAATACTCTCAGTTCTGCACCTTTGTATATTCCTTTCCCTCTACGAGCATTTGTTTGTGACTGCCAGCACCTAGTCGTCTTCCAGGCCTTGAATTCTAAGTTCCGGCTATTAACAAGCCTTTCTTGACCCCGGTGGGAATTGGGGACTGTGTCATGTGCTCCTGCTGCACCCTGGTTTTCTCCTCACAAGGTGTTTTTCCCACAGTACTCAGTACCTGCTTCCCTGCCTGCACCTGGACCATGATTACAGTATCTACAGCATCTGTGTGGGGTCCAGCAAAGTAGAGACAAAGCCTATCTGCTGAATAAATCAATGATCTACATGATAGAACACAACGCTGTGTAGAATCCTTTGGTACCCAACTCCATGAGAATTAGACTAAACTACAATATCTTATATCATAAATTAAGAAAAACTTTATTTTGAACATAACGCCAACATATGAAAATAGTCAGAAAAAAGAATACAAATAATTCAAAATTCAAAATAAATACTGCGCTTTTCAATGCCATTGCCCTAAGAAAGTGCCAAGACACAGAGCATGACACTGGGTGTTGCTGAAAAAGGACAGTGCCAGCACCTGCAGGTGACAGAGTGATGCTGACATGGTGGACTGCATACTTGCCTGCAAACAAGGAGAGCTGGGGGCTCATCCCTCTGGTGCCAAATCTAGTCACTTGCTCAGAGACAATTTCTTCTCTGGAGAATAAGAACCAACCCTTCAAATGCTAGAATGTCAATATTGATTGGAAATAAGAGAATCCTGAAAAGATGAGGGCTGTGGGGGCATAGTTTTTGAATCACTCCAAATCACACCATAAATGCAGAAAGGACAATTAGATCTTAAAACCAAAACCCCATAGGGGCTGGGGATTTGGCTCAGTGGCGCTTGTGCCTGCCTCACAAGCACAAGGTCCTGAGTTCGATCCCTGGTACAAAAAAAAAGCCCATAGGTAAAACACATATTACCAAATTAAATGTCACGACACTGGCACAACCCCCAAAATACAAGCAGAGAAAATAAGAGTAACAAGCCTGTATGATACCACAATCCAGGCAGAAAAAAGAAAAAGGAAGCAACAGTGCCACTGACAAATCTATGCATAAGAGAACCCCAAAAGAGCCAACAGGTGTTCACTAGAAAGCAAGGCAGGCCAATGTGAGGACAGTGCTAAAACTGAGAGGGTCTCACCCACTTCAATACTGCTGGGTGCTAGGTGTCTTGAGTAGGGACTAACAGAAATGAAGAAGCCTAGAATTCTTGAAACTGACCTGTCAGACATTCCTTCCAGGATAGAAACCCATAGTGGGGAGAAGCCACTGAAAAAGGAATCAGAATTGAGCAAGGTAGGAGTAATACAGAAGAATTAAGCCTAGCTAAAAACAAGGGATATGAACAGGGAAAAGTGTCACTGAAAGCAAGCCACTGTTATTTGTAACACTACAGGAAAACAGCTGAGGAGGGAGTAGGCTGTGTGGAGGAAAATTGCTATTATGAACTAACTAGGCCTTCCTCTAAAAGTTCAGGGAAACTAATTGCACATGAAAATGAGCCACAGCAAAGGATCAAGGTCAAATCCTACATAAAGTTATTATAAGAAAAAAGAAAACATGGAGCAGAATAACCTTATGCAGACAATAAAAGCATGCCAAAAAACATACTTATGGATCAGACCAAAATGTAAACTTTTATTTCAAAATAAACTACAGAATGCTAGTATGATGACGCAAGTTATAAAAAGACAATATCATGCAGAAGTGAAGTATGAGATTCAGAAAAGAATTAAAAATTTTAAAAATTATTTTGGTACTAAAGCCAACAGCAGATTATTACACAAGAGTAAATAAACAAAACAGGTAATAAGAGAAAGATAAGAAAGTAGAAATTTTTCTAAATAAAAAAGAAAAAGGCATTTGAAAGAAAATTACAAATAGTGATGATGAGCGGTAAAGGCACAATGCACAGCTAACTAGAGTCTCAAAAGGAAAAACTCAAGGTAATTCTTGAAAATTATACAAAAAAAACCTTCCTAAAAATTTCTGAAATTATATACTAAAAAAACCCCCTATTCTCAGATATCTGAGACTAACAATCCATGATGAGTATCACAAATACACAGTTTAGTAATACAACTGGGTTTTAAAAGGAAAACAGCAAGTGACCTAAGGAAGAAAAAATTAGATTGCCATTGCTCTTTGATAGCAACAGTTCATGCCAGACCAAAAAAGTAAAGGTAACACAAGGAAAAGAAATGTGAAACATGGATACTAAAACCAGCAAAATGTTCATGCATGAGGAACACAAGCATGCTAGATACAAGGAATAGTGTTCTCATAAGCACTTTTGGAAAAAGCTATTAGAGAATGAGCTAAATGAGAGCCAGGAGGGAAGGCATGAGTGTAGGGCTGAATGTTGAGATAGTGTAGGTACTGCATACCTATTTTTAATGTGGGAAGAGTGGGGAGAACAGATAAAAAATTATCTTTACAGCTGTTTTAGGAATTATTTGGTAGTGCTGTCCTGAATTTGAATTGAAAGGATCAGGATGGTCTCATGGCATTTCATATAACAACAAAATCCTACCCCTGACCACTGTAAAGGCCTTTTCTCATTGCTGAGACAAAATACCTGACAGCCAAAGTTAAAGGAGGAAAGGTTTATTTGGCTCACAGTTTGTAGAGGTTTCAGCCCATAGTTGGCTGGCTCCAAGGCAGAGTGGCATGGCAGAGGGGCACTGTAGAGGAGAAATAGTTTGTGGTGGGCAGAAGGCAGCAAAGCAGCAAAGGAGCAAAGAATCAGCAGCAGCCTGCCTCTCCCTTTTGTCCCTTCCTAATTTGCTAATCACATACTCAATCCCAGTATCACATATTCTAGATCCAGCCACCTCTAAAAAGCTCCATCTTCTCGCAAGCACAAGGTCCTGGGTTTGATCCCTGGTGCTAGGAAAAAAAAAAACTCATCTATGACACATGAGGATTTTGGTGGGACTTCTAGATACATAACATACTGCATACCTATTTTTTTTTTGGTACTGGGGATTGAACTCTGGAACTTGAGCTTGCAAGGCAGGCAGCAGAACCACTGAGCTAAATCCCCAGCCCTGTATACCTATTTTTAATGTGGGAAGAATGGGGAAAACAGATACAAAAATTTTCTTTTCAGCTGTTTTAGGAATTATTTGATAGTCTTGTTTTGAATTTGAATCACAAGGATCGGAATGGTCTCTTGGCATTTTATATAACAACAAAATCCTAGCCTTGCCCACTGCAAAGGCCTAAAAACAAAGATCAGCCCAATAACTATGGATCTGGATTGTGGTTCTGAAAATATATTTTCCTACTAAAAAAAGTAGTTCTTTAAATAAAAAAAAAAAAAAGTAGTTCTTAGTAGTTAAATGTTCTAAAAGTACTTCTTAGTTAAATGTTCAATTCCAGGTCTGGGGCAGGACATGTACCAGTGGGTCCTAGACGTTCTGTCACACCAAACTGTAAGAAAGCTACAAAATTCTACTAGGTCATGTCAAAAGAACTCAGAAGCCAACCTGAAAAAGCTACACTGGTCAAAAATGGAACAGTCAAGAGCTTCAAATAGAATAAATAATTGCAATTGAATGGAACCATCAACTCATTAAAATTCATGATATTATCTTTTACAAAAAAACCTAATTAGTTTAGTCAATGTTGGAAGATGATAAGAAACAAATTTATTATCCTGATGATAAAGAAAAAAAAAGCAGCTATCCTGAATTCCCTCTACGAACGATGTCACTGAAAAACCAACCAAAAAGCAAATGGAGCTCTTTAAAAAACGCATTCCAAGTAATACATGAAAAGTGTACAGAATATCACCATTTGCAACCACCAATGAACTAACAGATCTTGAACATTTAAAGTAACAAGAGAGACACAATATGCCTTGAATGAAAAAACACCTCAACCCTTGCCAAAGGGATTGAACATGAGCGTAATCAAGCCTCTTCTGAATCCAGTGGCCAATTAAAAGAAATAATGCCAATGCTAAAAAACATGCAAAATTTTACCATAAATGTGCAATCAGCAAAATCTATACTATGAGCACTTAACAGGTCAAATGTCCTTGGTTCCTCTACAGTAATCTCTTTCAATCAGTAATCACAAATAGGCATTCAATAACTATTGGCTTTAGGCTGAAGCAACAGGGCTAGCTAATCATGGGCTGAAACTTCCAAAACTGTGAGCTAAAATAAACCTTTTCTCCTTATAAGTTGATTATCCAAGTATTTTGTTACAGTAACAGAAAGCTAACACAATATGTTTAGGTGTATTAATTACTTAAGAGAATTTAATCATAATTTACTTTCCTAACTACAGTTCTTTCCCCTTCACTTGAAAGCCCTCATTTATGATGAAGTTTCTGAAACACTGTAATGTACACACTTAGGGTTGTCTCTCAGTGGAAGTGATAGGCTGGTTGAGCTATTCTTAATATCTGTCTGGTCCCCAAATAGTCCTCAGTATAAAACTCTGTGGTTGGTTGCTAGCCAGGGGCAGTGGCTATATTCTTCTCTCAACTAAGTTAACCAAAGTTCCAAAATAAATATACAGAAGACCTCAAACTCATTAGGAATATCTTCCAATCAATTACACCTTCAAAATTTACATACAACATTCTACATTTTTCAACAGAAAAAAAATATGTTTCTTTTCAGAAAAAGCTTTTAAAACATGTTTTGATTAAATTATGCAAGCCTGACATACTTCTGTTAAAAGGGCATAGGAGACTGTGGAGCAACAAGCAAACCAAATACATTCCAAGCTATAGAATGTGTCACCAGCTGTGTCCAAAAGAATAAACACAAATGGCTGAAAAAGACGGCTGACCAAAACTTAAGAGTTACCTCAGAAATGTTTTTGTCAGTTTCTTTTCTTTTTTCTTCCAGTTTCCTTTCAATACCTACAATTCCAACAGCTCTTACTCTTCCTGGCTGGAAAAAAAAAAAAGAAGTACAACATAAAACACACAAATTGGGAAGGAAACAAAATATTTTTTGAGCTACATTGTATTTTCAGTGGGGGGAAAGGACCCACAAAGAACCAAAGTAAAACACCACACAATTACATCTAGCTTCCGTTCAAAACATTTGTCTGTTTCTGGTGGTACATAATGATCTTTAAATCATTAAAGAAAATCCAAACATTTATATGTATTTTACACATAAACTATGTTTCTTATTTTTATTCTTTGGCAAGCCATAATGTATCTGATTATTTAATAGGGTCTCAAATGTACAAAAAAAATCTGTATTAAAATCTTGGTACTTGATGGTTATTTTTACACATTTCAGTGTCTGTCCATAGCCAGTGATTAATTTAAGTGCTATGAAAATTAATTTTTTACCAGAATACCACAATCTTGTTTTTTAGCAAGTTCTATAATCCACATACTGAAGATCTAAGTACAGAGTTAAAAATTCTGGATTAGTAAATAGTTTAAAAAATACCTGAGGTCCTCTATTTGTTTGTAATGACTGGGAAACTGGCATATTCTCCCATCTTCTCTGTGTCATTTCCTCTGACAAACGCCTATAAAACTGTTGTGCACATACATTAACCATAAGTGAGTCAGGCTGGCTGTGGTATCTTTGCACAATTGTTACTTAACTGTTTTTTAGTATAAAAGTTCATTCAGTCACTTGCAACAAGCCTAGAATTCTGAGACATCAAAGGAAAGCAAAGGAAGTTCTTTTCTTGAATCAACTTCAGAAAGCACAAAGAAGGCAAACAAAAATAAAGGGGGGGGTGACTGACTGACCTTCTATTTAAAGTGAGCTATTCTCAACAAAGAGATGAGTGACAATGAAACAAATAGACTTAAACAATCCTGCATATGTGGACTGTTTCAATCTATAGTGAAACAAACACAGTGCCAGAAAAAATATACAACCATTTTCCATGAAGGAAACAGAGAATAATTTGTCTAGTTAAAATCTGAAGTCAAAATTTAGAGACAAAACATGCATATGCTCACTAAAAAAAAAAAAAAAAAAATCAAACATTTTCCAACTAGTGAAAATGACTTTTGTCTGTCACTTATATATATTTACTTAGGGACTACTGTGTGAGGAGCAGTGGTTCAGGCACTGTTGAAAATAAAACAATTTATGATGTTAATGGGAAGATAAACACATAAATGTCTTAAGAATACTTGTATGGTGACTTATTAATCAGAACAAACACATAAACTATTATTACTGCAGCATAAGCACTGTAGTGATTAGATTTTTTAAGTTAACCAAAATAGACTGCCTAATTTAAGGCTGGTAAGCTTTCATATACTAACTCAGTTTAGTATTGTACACAATATATTCTGTTCCTTTAACCAAATTACACTACTGAAAATTTTACTAGTAATTGAGTGGTATGACTTAGCACATTTCCAGCCTCTGCTACCTCCTATGACCACACTTGCCTGCTTTTCATTCCCACAGCTTAAGATACAAAAAGATTTTATTCGGTGAGAGCTGGTATGTTCTATAACATTGCCTTCCATCATAAAATAACAACAGCAACAACAACAACAACAACAACACAAATACACACACACACACAGAATCCAGCTTTATTCATATGGTAACTTACCTCAATCTGGCCATGTTCTTTGAAGGAGAGTTTGATGTAAGAGTTCTTACTACTCTGGAATGGGCCAGGTTCTTTGTTAGGAGGAGCCGGGTGCAGATGAACCACTATTTTGGCACTAAAAACAAGAGTACAGTAATATAAATAATTGCTTTTTAAAAAATCACTAATTCTATTTTCATAACTTTTAATATATCTCAAATCACTCTTAAATTCATGCAGAAACAGAATATCCTAAAAGGGGATCCTTTTAAAGTTTGTATTAAATTCATTATCAACGAAGCTTTCAAAAATATCTCCATTTAAAATTTATAAGCTTTGAACCAAAAAGCTTCACATTAATGTTAAATAAAAGTGTGGTTTTTAGAAAATGAGTCCAAAATAAATTTGCAAAATTTTGAGTGAGTTATGACTAGAGTTTTCCAGTTTAGAGTCAGCCCCAAAGGTTATAAGGGGGCCTATAATTTCTGCCAAAGCATACTATCTTACTCATTTGAAAACAAAATGTGAGAACTTATCTGTGAAACTGGCCAGCTGAAATTTTATTAAAACTCCATCCAAAACTAACATTCTACAGTGTCATTTGTTGGAAAATGCCACTTTCAACAGCATGATCTAGAAAGAGACCCAATAGAAAAAACAACTCTCAGAATGCCACTGCCCCAGGAATATAAGCTGCTATTATCTTTATGACTATGGTTATCTTCTATGCTATTATAAACACCACCGTATTTGTTCAGCTTTATGTCTATTTTTGTCCCTTTTTTAACCTGCTCAATAAACAATGTTCTATAAAGATTAGAGAAACTAAAAAGCTCATAGTCAAAATATCCTGAATACTTAGTTTAGAGCCTTTTCTTTATGATCACATTATAGATGTGCCTACTACAGTACTCAATTTTACTTTTATTTGGGCCCATATAGTTGCCAAAATATCACTATAAAGTTGAAACATCATGAATTGGGCCTCAGTATAAGGCATGCTTTGGTTAGTGAGCTGGGGCCAGCCTTGTAAGGACTGTTCATCTACTCCTTTGTGATCAACATCTTTTAAGACAGGTGAACAAATAAACTATGTTAGCTGAATCATAGAACTGCTTGGAATAAATCATCAAGTAGAACAACAAAACTATGACAATTATGATAAGGTGACTGAGCAAAAGCATTTCACAATCTGTAAAACTAAAAACTCTTGGCCCCATTATCAAATTGTCAGAGGAAACCCAGTGAAAAGCTATTATGATACAAAATGAAACTCAAAATTCCAAAGGAAAAAAATCCATGTGAATTTTTCATATATTCTTTTTTTTTCTAATTTTTAAATTTTTTTATTCTATTTTTTTTATTATTGTTGGTACTGGGAATCAAACCGAGGCCCTTGTGCTTGCCAGGCAGGCATTGCACCACTGAGCTACACATCCCCAGCCCTTCATCTATTTTTTTTTTTTTCCTTTTTGGTAGCGGGGATTGAACTTGGGACCTTGCGAGGCAGGCGCCGGAACAACTGAGCTAAATCCCCGGCCCCTTCATCTATTCTTTTATTGAGTCATTCAATTACCACATTTCATCAAATTTAAAATCTATAAAATGAAAAGAATATCTTGACTTCAAAAGTTGGGCTGGGCATGTAGCTAAGTGATACAGCACTTGCCTATCCCTGAGTTCAATTCCCAGCACGGCAAAAACAAGGGAAAAAATGTTCAAAGGTGAAAAAAATAAAACCAGGTGTGGTAGCACATGCCTATAATCTTAGCATTCTCAAAACTGAAGGAGGAGGATCTCAAATTCATGGCCAGCTGGGCTACACAGTAAGGTACCATGTCAAAAAAAAAAATCTTTAAATTAATGCAATTATGGTAATTATCTGAGGGGAAGGGCTAGACAACAAAAGAGAATATGTGAAAAAAAAGTTAACCTGGCATATTATTGAATTCCTCAATGGAGATGTTTTTAGAAATAAGACTATTTTGAAAGTAAGTATTTTAAATATTTTTGTTACCAAGTTTAGAATACCCTGGAACATAAGCAGAGGAAAAAACATCAAGGGATCTGGAATACTCTTAAAGTTTTACTTTCTAGAATATAGTAAGACTAAAAAAATGAAAAGGGTTTGTACGATGATCTACTCTAAAAATCTATGGGTTATTCTTTTCAAAATGTTGGTAGCTGCTTTTCTGTCACATAAATCTTTTATGTTCACTATAACATTATGATTAAGCCATACATTGCATCTCCTATGAGGCCCAACATTGTTTAACTTCCATCAAAAAGTCTAATTATACTAAATCTAAAGAGGGACCTACATAGAAAAAAATTTTCATACCAATATTTGTTCTTCTGAACAAGTCTTCTGAATTGCATGCACACAGAAAATAAAGCCAAAATTTTTGGAGCACTAAATCAATAGGAACATCTCAGCCTGCATCTGTACACCAGGGTGACTACATCTCCTGGTTGATCTAGGACACTTCCATTTTACTTTGTCCAATTATGAATTGTGTCTATTAGTCTTATAAACATCCAGTTTTGCAAAATAACTATTATGACTCTTTAATTCTGATATCAGAACAACTAAAACTTGAAAAATAACAGTTGGAAATAGTAGCAAAGTCAGTTATCTTTCTCAGATGGGTCATTTCTGACGTAAGTACTAAGTGACAGGCTCATATGGGAAAGCCCAGTGTTTGTGGAAATAAACAATGATAGCTAGGCCACATGTATTTATTATGATATGAAGGTATCACTTTATTCGTACTTTAAAAATTAATCTAAGGTGGGATGAACTAGTATAAAAGGCAGTGTTTTTGTGAATAAAGGCTATAATACATAGACCTCACCTCTTCCCAATTCCAGCTGCCTGCTCCTCAATGAACACAATTTGGGACAAAGGAATGGCCATGCAGCACTCCTAGGAGGAAATCAGTAGAAAGCAAGATCCTTAACACTTGTCAGGAATCCTTTTATATTATGAGTGTGCAACATATCTTTAAGGGACTTAATAATCAAAATATTTAAAAATAACAATGTTGTTTTACTCTTTAAATAAACTTAAGGAAAAATTAAATACTGTGGTGGATTTTGCTAGGTGGAAAAATATAAGAAGCTTAAAAGCAGCTGTAACAACTTTTGTTTTTATAATGGGTTTCATTCTGGCAGATTTGTACATATAATAGTACATTTCAATCATTCCCCCTTTAACACTCGTCTTGTTCCACCCTCCCTCCTATTTCAGATTTTTATGGGGGGAAGAGCTTCAATGTGTGCATCATATTCAAACCCTAGTGGGTAAATTTTCTCCCATCCAAGTACTAACCAGCCCCCACCCTGCTTAACTTCCAAGATCAGACAAGATCAGGAGCATTCAGGATGGGGTGGCCATAGACTCTAGTGGGTATATTTTCTAAAAGTAATACTCATATGAAAATTTCTCACATGTAATATTTTCTTACATGGAAAGAAAATAAAACAGATAAAACAAACTTTAAGTAGTATATTATAAGGGTGAATTTTCTTCTGCTTTATAATCTCCCATACTTCTCCCATACATACATATATTCACACACACACACACACACACACACACACACACTATTTTTAACAGAATATACTGATGTAGCCTCCCTTATTATTACAAGATTTAGTAAATGATTTTTAAAAATTATTATACAAGGCCAGGTGTGGTGTTGAGTGCCCCAGCTACTCAGGAGGCTGAGGCAAGAGGATTGCTTGAGCCCACAAGTTTACAAACATCTTGAGCAAGACAGATTTTGTCTCATAAATAAATAAATAAATAAATAAATAAATATACATACATAACTGGTACATAATAGGTCTACAAATTCATTCAGATTTGCCACTCTATATAATAAACATTATCCTAAGATTAATTTATCAACATATGGTTAAGGATTCCCTATTATTCTCCAAAAGATTTCTATACTAAGTGTACAAAGAATTAGACAGCATTAACAGGATATGAAATGTACTATCAATGGGGGCAATATTGTCCCTAAGGGAGCAAAAACTGGTTCCTGAAATTCAAAAAGTCAGATGGTGCAATGGATAGTGGTCTTTCAAAAGGCCACAGTATGGTATATTGTTTATGTATGGTATTAAAATTTCATGAAGGCTGGAGGGATAGCTCAGTGGTAGAATATATACTTAGCATTTGTAAAACCCTAGGTTTGAATCCCAACACTCAAAAACAACTACAGTAGGGGGAGTGATTAGGAAAATGAAAATGACTGTTATATAGCTCATCTTACTGATAACTCTTAAGTTAAAGCCCTTTAGAATGAAGCTATCAGCTCTCTATATATACATAGTTCACTTTCTACTCCTAGAAATTATAAAAATAGGGGCAGGAGTTTCCCTCTTCCAGAGTAACCTGGAGGCAAGGCAAATCTTTTTTTTTTTTGGTACTGGGGATCAAACTCGTGACCTTGCACTTTCAAGGCAGGCGTCGGAACCACTGAGCTAAATCCCCAGCCCAAATCTTCTTCATGTTTAGATGAAAACATACAACAGACTCTCTTGATTCTCAACCACTGTCAGAGAGTGGGTTATAAGGAGGACATATGAGTCCCTCACAACTGATGGCAGGATTGTACCCTTGCTACACTCCAAACATCAGGTATGCAGCAGGATCTGACTGGTGTTTAATAAAAGACTCATCAGGATTCTCCATCCAGTAACTACAGACTTTTCTGGAGGCAAATGAGGGAAAATACTCTCTGTCCTCCATTCAGAGAGATAGCATGAGACACACTTCTGACATTCTGAAAGGGAAAAGTATGCTGTATCCATTTATAGTTTTTCCAGAAAGGGGGGAAACCAAAAAGAAATGAAAAACTTTAGTAACTTAAAGCCCACACCAAATGGCCAGAGGTGTAGTTCAGTGGTACAGTGCTCACCTAGCATGTACAAAGCCCTAGGTTCCATTCTCAGTACCACCAAAAAAATAAACAAACACATAAAACCTGGAATAGATGTCAAAAATCTGTATCTTACATGATTTTTCTGATCTCTCCAAATCAGTCGGTGTGTACTAAGGAGGAGGGTCCCAGCATCAAATTTTATCTAGAAATATAAGAATATCACAAAATATTGTCACTCCCTTTTGTCCAGATTTTCTTTCTCATTAATCATATGATACAAAGTTAAATCATTTTGAAATTAGGTGCATCATAAATTAAAAAGAAGCAATGCTGCATACTCTATAAACATAAGCTATATAAATATAGCTATGATAGAATCAGGAAAAAAATGGAAACAATCTAGTTATATAACAATATTGGAGTAGTTAAAATAAATAATATCTGTATAATGGGACCCACAGAAAGGTTAGAAGAATGATGAGGAGGAACTGTTACATGTTATCATGGAATCTAAGAGTCAGTAAAGAAAAGCAATTTATTCCATACTACATATATGTAGTCCTCAAGCAGCATGTTTATAATGTACCCGCATCTCTATATAAGTAACAGACAAATGCCTACAAGGAATACACAGTGAAATGTTAATGAAAGGAATGCATGATATTTTAATGACAAGAAACCTACTGAACCATCTAGCTTAAATACACTCTTACAAAAATATTTTCTCTCGCAACATTTTGATACACCAGAGAAAAGACCTTACGGGTTCATCTTTTCTTCTGAATCATTTTTAAAAACAAAAAAACAAAACAAAACAAACAAGTATCCTTGGCATTTATTCAGTCTGGTTTCAACTGAGTTTAAGGTATTTTAAAATTACATTTTCATAAATAAGATTTTGTTTTTCTAAAAGCAAAAGTTAATATTTTATCAACTTGAGAGTGCATGACGATACAGAACACAATAGCTCTGATTTACAAACTTTACATTTTATCTTACTGAAATCCAAGCATAAGGATATGAATTTAAAGTTCAAGTCAGAGTATATTCCATTGCTATGGCAGCTAACAATGAGCAAATATAAAATACTGCTGCTTTAAGTGAAGAAATTGTGTAATAGTTCCCTTCAGGGATTCCAATGGATTATGATCTAAACTTGATAGACAAGTTTAGGCTGGTTTGCTTGTGCCACTCAGGGCCAGAGTAATTAACTACTTGAAAGTCAATCAAACTTAGGCACTTGCTGAGTAAGGTTTTACTCCTTTTCAGTTTTGTTTTGTTTTTTTTTTAACATTTTTATGGTATAAAAGTAATACATGTTGTTGAAAAAGCTGGGACAAATTTGAAGGCTAAAACAAAAAATGAAATCACTAATAATTATACCAGCCAAATGTTATATGTATATGCATGTATAACCTTTGAGATTATATTTATAGTTTTATGATTTTTATTTAGTAGTCCATGGTTAGCAACTCCTGTTGCTAATTCAGGCCATAATTCAATTAACTAATTTCATTGGTAGACATTCAGATTGCTTCCAATTTCCCCCATATATATTAATAATATATATAATCTGAGATGAGCATCCTCATACATAATATTTTCAAGCAACCCTCATTATTTCCCAAGGATAAATTCCTAAAAACTAAAATAGCTGAAAGGGAATAAACATTTTATAAATCTTCTAGTATATAATGCCAGCTTTCCACATTACACAGTACTAACCTTCAACAAATGACCTGTCTATATTACTTATGAAAACAATACGTTATCCAGTCATAATGGGCCCATGAAAACTGTGCCTGTAGAAACAAGCAGGCACACATTAATTCACAAAAGGCACTTGGGCAGTGGGAAGAACACAGTCCCCTGGATCTGGTTTGAAATTCTAGTTCCACCAATTACTAGATGTGCAATCTTGGGTGGCTCACAATTTTCTCAATCATCAATCAGGGGCCGTAGTATCATCTTTGGAGGGTCAGCTATATGAACATTACATAAAGCTTCTGGCATAGGGGACTGCTATTCTTTGAGGTGCTTCAGAACACTGAAGAAAACACAGGCTGGGAGTCTCATTGATACAGCTTTAAATCCTGTCTCTCCTAACGCTGCAGGTTTTAAGCACTGTATCTCTGAATGTCATTTTCTCATTCACTAAGCTACCTCATGTACCTGTTGAGAGGAGCAAATGAGATCACAAATACTATATATAAAGCTCCTAGCACACAGTAATTACTTTAATCATTCTGAATTTCTGAAAAAATTGTGTTTCACACCCACTGTGAGCCAGAGGCATGCCTTCTGCCTCCAGGAGCTTCCAACTGGCCCAGAAGGGTACCGTGGGCACACCTACCTCAGGAATGTGCTTTGGTGCACAGCTATGAGAGCTAAGCAGCCTTACTGCAGTCTCTGGGCCCGGGAGCCAGGGAAGGACTCTGACCGGGAGGCTAACTCGATCAGGCCTGGAGGCTGATGTGCAGCCTCATGGAGTCTTCAGTAGGAATGGAACCTTCGGGCAGATGGAGGAAGCAAGGACACAACTCTTTCTTTCCCTCAGGAATCAGCCTGGTCATCAGTCACACCAGGGAGCAAACAGTCGAAGACAGCTCAGTAAGTGACAAAGTGTGACTAGCACCAGGGCACAGGGTGAAGGGTCTCATCTTAGAGCTCTAGTTTAGTTTTGAGACACCTACAACCCTCCACAATGGCCCCCAGCTTTACCTCCACCAAGGGCTCCAGAGTTAAGAATTCTATACCAGATTAAAAAAATTTCCACACAGGCTTTTCCCATGATTTTGTTTTTCCTTATACCTTTGATACTTATATACTTGTCTGCTACAACAACCAGCAAAGATTTTTAAAGGAAAAAACAGAATTTCCTGGTTCAACGATGGATTTTCACATACAGGTACTAATGACTGTGATTTTACATTGTTTAGATATGCCAGAGCTGCAGCGCTGTTCCCAATTTGTATACTGGTGACCCACAGACAACAAAACTTCCAGACCCTCCCTCAAGGGAGTGGTACTGGAGGAGTCTGAGGATCCATTGGTCCTTGTCAGCCTTCAGTTCCTGTTAGAATGGGAGGAGAATCAAACCCAATAAGAGGGGAGGGTGTTAAGCTTGCCATTTAAAATCGTTCCAAAGATGTAAACTTACAAAGAAAAAAATTAATTTGGCCTGTCACTCCAATAAAAGTCGTAATTTGAGATCAAGCTAATAAACTGCTAAGGCAGTAAATGAAGTCCAAGCAAATCACTTAAGGAAAAGACTTTGACTCGATAGAGAAGGCAACAGTGCATAGAAATTGCTCTAAATAAGTCAGGAGACCTGGGTTCCCCATCACCTGTGCCTCTAGATAGCTTTAAGCACGAACCACGAAAAGCTCCGGGTCAGAAAAAGTACACCCAAGTACAGAGGGGCGTGGACAGAGCAAGTGAAAACTGTCAACTAAAAGTGGTTGTGGGTAAACGAGTTCACTTTTTCCCCCTGAATTCCAACTTACACGTTTCATCCGGGACAAGACATTTTGTGGTTTCACCCAAGTACCCACAAAATATTTACTTATACTCCATATTCTCTTCTTAACTTGCAAAACCATTTCCTAAGATTAATGTTTGCATTGTAAGGCAAGGCTTACATCACTTTATAAATGCTTACAACTCCTTTCTACAATAATCACAAAAACAAACAAAAAGAAAAAAATGAAAGAAATCGAAAAACCCAGGAGCCTTTGGCAAGCGCACGCCAAAGAGGAAGACCCTGCTACTTCTTTCGGGAACCTTGTCACAGCAGTCCCTCCCCTCCGCCCAGGACTGATCCCACCTCCACGTCCGACTCCCCAGGTCAGAGCCGCCGCCGCCGCCGCCGCCGCCGCCGCCGCCGCCGCCGCGCTGGTGACGCACACGCCGGGCGCGCTCCCGACAGAGGCGGAGCTGGGCTGCGCCCGGGCCGTGGTCAGCGGGCCGTGAACCGCGCCTGCGAAGCCGAGCGCCCGCGTACTCGCCAGCCGGCAGAGGGGCCGCGCTGTGCGCCCCGAGGAGAACCCGCCGGGAACCGCTCCCGAGCTGGAGGAGGCGGCGGTGGGAGGGGTCCGAGCTGCGCCCGGCACTAGGAGGCTGGCGGTGCCGAGGGCCGAGAGGGAGGCCGGGCGGGGCCCAGGCGGGACGCGCGCCCCCAGGAAGGTCGGCCGCCGCCCTACCTTCTCTTCGCCGTCGTAGATGCGCACCCCGCGCTGCTGGATCACCAGGGTTTCGTTGATCTCCAGGAGGCCGCTGGTCCACACGAAGCGGTCCATGGCTGCCGCCGCGCCGGCCTCCGCCGCTTGCCCGCGCCGGTTCCGGGGCCGCGAGCCGCGCAGCCTGCGACGCCCCCTGGCGGCGGGCGGGGCGGAGCGGGCCGGGAGGGATTGAGGGAGAGGAGGAAATGGAAAGTGGCCTGGCCCGGCGCCCTGGGGAGAGGCGCGCCTTCGAGGTGCTCCGGGAGGGGAGGGGGGAGCGCCCCCTGGCGGTCACCCGCCCATGACCGTCCAGTTCCTTGGCGGGACGTCCTGCCCATCCCAAACCGAGACAGGTCAGACCCGTTTGAACTTCTTAGGGTGCAATATCCTTGCCTATTTGCGGGAGTCTTCTTGTCAGTGTCCGGAATGTTACCATGTTTATAAAAAGCTGTAAATAATCTCCTGTTTTTTCCAAAAGATTTTTATGGCACAAACTTTACATACACTCGCAGTATGTTAAGCAATATCTTTTTTTTTCCTCCCAAGATTATTTTTATTCAAACATTTCCAATCTTAACAGACTTCATGAACCTGGGTACGGTTCATGCATGCCTGTAATCTCAGTACGGAGGATTGCAGGTTCGACCCCAGCCTGGGCAGCTAAGTGACTTAGCAAGAACTTGCCTTAAAATAAAAAAAGAAAAAGGGCTGGGACTGTAGCTCAATGTGGAGACTCTAGGTTCGAGTCCCAGTATTGAACATGCACTCACACGCGCACACACACACACATACAGTCTTCATGAATTTAAAAAATATTTCAAGCAGAGCATGGTAGATCGTGCCTATTTTCAGAAACACCGGAGGCTAAGGCAGAGGATCCAAAGACCAAGGCCAGCCTGGATAGTTTATCTCAGGAACCTGTTAAAAAAATGTAAAAGGGTAGGGGAAGTAGCTCAGTGGTAGAATGATCGCTTAGCATGTGCAAAGAAAGCATTGAGTTTAATCCCCAATATCACCAATAAAAGGTCTATATATGTGAGTATATTTCAATATAGGTACTTACCATAATTTACCTGTTGGGTAATCTGTTCAAACCCAACCATGGCCACTAATTGGGGGGAGAAGGAAAGAGGTGGATTTAATTACACTTGTAAAGGTTTTGCCCAGCAAAGAATTGACAGAGGGACAAAGGAAAATTATAAGCAAGTCTCATACATACCTTCCTTTCTTGGTTGCCTGTTCTCCCTGCTTGTAATTTGTAAGGTTTTTCTCATCATTTTTTGTGTTCAGAAATTTCACCAGGTGCAAGATTCTACGTATGTATTCTTTCTCTTTGTTCTGCCTGGAGTTGGTGAGGTTTTTCAATTTGAAGACTCAAAGATTTTTTTCAGTTTTTATTTTCTCTCTTCCAAAAAGCATTCCTGTATTATTTTTTTATTACTGGTCTGTGAGTTCATTTGGTGGGGGAAGGAGTACAGGAGATCAAACCCAGGGTATTTTACAACTGAGCTACATTCCCAGCCTTTTTCATTTTTTGAGACACGATTTCACTAAGTTACCCCGTGTTGTCCTTGAACTTATGATTCTCCTGCCTCAGCCTCCCATGTAGCTGGGATTATAGGCATGTGCCACCTCATCTGGCTATGTTCTTCTTTGCCTCTTGATTCTTTATCCATTAGTAAGCCTATCAAAATTATCTGTTGCCAACATGGCCCTTACCTGTTCCCCAATTGTGCTCATTTTTATAAATTTTGGAGCAGAATTTGTTGTTGTTGTACTGGGTTTTTAACCCAGTGTCTTCACACTGAGTGTGGTAGTTAAGCTTGTCAACTTGATTGGCTTGAGAGCCACCCAGGAATTGGTAAAGCACACTTCTGGGTGTGTCTGAGTGGGTGATGGAGGTGCAACATCAGGGTTTATATCTGGCCCCTTGCCTCTTCCTCTCTGGCACTGTTCTGCTCTGGTCCCCGGTTGATATGAACTAAGTAGTTTTCCTCCACCACACCCTTCTGCCATGATGTTTCTGCCTTGGAGCCAGCCAACCATTGGCTGAATCCCCTGAACCTGTGAGCCAAATTGAACTTTTCCTCCTCTAAGTGGTGTTGGCTATTGTGTCTCAGCAATAGGAACACTGACTAATACAGGAAATCAGTACCAGAGAAGTGGGATCATACCTGTGACTATACCTGACTATCTGGTTTAGAAGCTTTTGGAACTGGCTTGTGGGAGGAATTTGTAAAGGTTTGGAGATGTGGTCTATAGATGCCCTAAAATGCTGTAAGCAGAGCATGATGGATGATTCCTGTCAGAGCTCAGAGGACCACAATCCTGATAGACATTCAGATAGTAAAACCTAGCCTCAAGATTTTGATTGGGAACAAGGACTTCATTGGCACCTGGACTACATTTGTCCATGTCCTGAGACTTTGAGGGACATTGAGATTAAGGGTAGTGGACTAATTGATCTTGCAGAGGTAATTTCACTGTGACTCATCTTTCAGGCTGTGGCACAGATACTGCTGGCTGCTTTTAGTTGGGTTTATACTAAGAATTGGATGAAAAAGTAAAGCAGAAAAACTTAAATTTTGGCCCACAAGAAACCACATGTAAAGTTGGGGCCCAAGAAGATGTAATTGTAGTACTGATGGCAGCCCTGACGGATGTACAGAGGCTGCAGGCCCGAGTGGAGGAGCTGGAACGCTGGGTGTATGGACCAGTCGGGGCCCGTGGCTCACAGAAGGTGGCTGATGGTCTGGTCAAGGTGTAGGTGGCTTTGGGGAACATTGCCAGTAAGAAGGAGAGGGTGAAGATTCTGTACAAAAAGATTGAAGACCTGATCAAATACCTGGACCCTGAGTACATTGACCGTATTGCCATACCTGATGCCTCTAAGTTGCAGTTCTTCTTGGCAGAGGAGCAGTTTATCCTCTCCCAGGTTGCACTCTGGGAGCAGGTGGATGCCTTGATGCCCATGCTGGACAGTGCTTCCATTAAAGGACCAGTGTATGGAGATCACTGAGGAGTCCAAGGCTCTCCTGGAGGAATACAACAAGACTACAATGCTTCTCTCTAAGCAGTTCATGCAGTGGGATGAGCTACTTTGCCAGCCAGAGGCTGCCAAGCAAGTAAAGCCAGCAGAACACTAAGATTTTCTATGTTTTCTTCTAGCCAATTTATGGTTTGGGTCCTTACATTTAAATCTATGCTCATTTTTAGGTTGTTGGTTTGGTTTTTTATTTGTATGAGGGTTGAGGTAAAGGTATGTAAATATTCTCTTACTCCAGCACTATTTATCTTTTTTCTCCAGAGTTGTCTTGAAAATTTTGTAAATTTCGGCCAGTTAGGCTTGATTATCTTTCTGGAATCCATTGTATTCCATTTATTTCTTTGTCTTTTTTTTACACTTGATTACTGTGACTTTATAAGTCTTAAAGTCAGGTACTGAAGTTAGTCCTCTTTCTTCTGTTTCATGATTGTTTTGTCTTCTCAAATCTTCTGCATTTCCACTTAAGTTTTAGAATCCTGTTGTCAATTTCTACAGAAAAGCTAAGATTTTGATTGCAATGGCAATTAATAATAAATCAACCTGGAGAGAATGGATTTTTCTTTTTGGTAGTGCGGATCAAACTGAGGACCTTGCACTTTTGAGGCAGGCACGGCACCACTGAGCTAAATCCCCAGCCTGAGAATGGACATTTTAAGACTATCAGGTCTTTCAATCTATAGGCATAACATAGCTCTCCATTTATTTGGGGTTTAATTTCTCTCCACAATATTTCATAACCTCCTGCCTTCTGAATCTATTGGTTCCTTCCAGTCTCAGTTGCCAGATCTTTGTAGCACCCAAGACTGTGATCCACACCCTCTTTTTTTCAACCTCTCTTTCCTGGACTTCTGTTTTCATCCTTTCATCATCCTTCTACCCTTAAAATTGTCCCACCCTGAGTACCTTAACTGTTTCATGTGATCACAGGAGAAACAACTAAAGCTGATCGTTGAAACTCTAGGAACCTGCAGTTCATCATCAGCTGTGTTGGGCTCTTGTGGAAGGAAATCTTCGTTTTGGATCTTTCAGAAAAGAATCTACCCTCTGGCCAATATTTGTGGGGTGATGATATTAAAAAGTGGCCCAAAAGATAGACTGTTCTCCAAAGCCAAGCATGGGGCACACACCTGTAATCCCAGTGACTTGGGAGGATGACTCAAGTTTGAGCCTGTGCTGGGTAATTTATTGAGACCTGTCTCAAAATTACAAAAATAAATAAAGGGCTGCATATGTACCTAAGGGCCCCAAGTTCAGTCCCCAGTACCACTATATGGCTAAGAACAATGGGATACATGTATTTGAAATGAAGGAGAATATTTTAAGGAATATTAATGGCAACGTGTCTTTTACTGTGATAAATTTTAAATTTTAAACTTTGTGTGTTTTGATCACATCTTGTTGATCAACCATTTATGGCAATTTCTATCAAATAAAAATATTACAATGTGTCCTCATCTGCCCTATTCATTAGATCTGGCACCTTGTGACTTCTAGCTCTTCCCCCAAAAAAGTAAACGTTTTGAATCAATTCAGGACATTGAGGCAGCCATCACAAAGCAACTAAAGACTTTCATGGAAGAGGACTTCCAGAACTGCTTCAGAACATGGCAAGTAGGATGGGATAAATGTGTTTGAAGCAAAAGGGGGTGGTATTTTGAGGAGGGTTAACAGCAGTGCATCTCTTACTGCAATCAGTTTTTAAAAATTTAAACATATTTTTCAGTTGCACCTCATTTTGTGAATGTGTGTGTGTGTGTGTGTGTGTGTGTGTACTATTCTTAGAGTGGGTGCCTCAGAGGTTAGGGGAAATTGCCATGTTGAAAAATCTAGCACTCTTCCAGGTTTTCCCACTCACCATCTCCGCCACTTGAAGTCTACATGGTTTCCTTTTGAGTCACTTTCTTTTTTTTAATCATGACCACATAAAAAATTTTTGTAAGGGTCAGAAATTTAGCTTAGCAGCATAGCGCCTGCCTGGCAAGAAAGAGGTCCTGAGTTCAATCCCCAGTACCCCCCCCCCAAAATTATTGTGGTAAAAATAAAATGCATATAACACAAATTAACCATTTTGAATGAACAGACAACAGGAAAAAATAAATGAACACACCAAAAAAGAAAACCACCTCCACAGAATGCCAAAACACCAGCCTAGAAAAAAAAAAAACAATACCCAACAACCAACCACCCAGTAACACCACGACCCACACCATCCACCAATCAGGACCACACTCAAACCCACCTATCCACCCAAAAAACCCAAAACAAACGCAATAAAACACACGCAACCCCCTGCACATAGTCCTTTCACCAATCATTTGGGAAGAGACAGACCCACAGATCAACTCCCATAACAAAGGAAACTGGTCGCCAGCACTGAACGGGAAAGCCCACCCACCCAACCGAAAGAAAAGTCACTCAAGAAACAACAATATGACAGGCAGAAAAATAGAAACACAACTACACAATAAAGAAAAAAGGAAAAAAAGAAAATGCAACCCACAGGAACCAAAACCAACCACACAATCCCAAGTCCAATCAACAACAAAAAAAAAAAAAAAAAATAATCTAAAAGGAAAATAGGCTAATAATCCACCTAATACTGGAAAAACTAAAATAAAAAGACAACACATAAGCAAACAAAAAACTAACCCAAAAATAAAAACCCAAAGAGCAAGACACAAACACCTCCAACCCAAAAACATGGGCGCTAGAAAGAGAAGCAAAAGTAAGGAAGACACAAGCATAGAGAAACAACGCACACCCTGCATCAAAAAAAAACAAACCAACCAGACAAAACAAAAAACGCAAGATACCAAAAGGAAGAAACAAAAAAAACAAAAAAAAAAACAGCCCCAAGAGGTACCAGCCCAGACGAAAGGAAAACAAAATAACAACCCCCAGAAAATGCACACAAGAAATAGGGAAGAAAAAGTCCAGTACAAACCAACTAACCACAGCGAACAGACAAGGGGAAGAAACCTGAACGCCCCGCAGAAGGACAAAAAGAAACAACACCCAACGCACAAACCAAAAAACAGCCGGACACCAAGCCAATACTCACGGCAAAACCAAATAACAAAAGGGATAAATGCAAAACAGAACACCCGAAAATAATACCAAAATAGAAACGCACAAGCAAAAAAATGACGAAAAACAAACAAACACAAACCAAACAAAAAAAGACACAATCCTACTCCACCCCCCTCGCACCTGATCAACTGCGTACTTACAAAAGCAAGAAAGAAAGATAATAAAAAAATAAAGCAGTCGGAAGAACCACAAAAAAAGAAAAGCAAATCCAAAGACCGAAACCCCAACAGAAAAACAAAAAAGGAACACCCCATACTACAGACTTCAAACAAACAACACGAAGCGAAACAACCAAACCCGCGCCAAAGAAACAACCCAAGCAACAAACAAACACGTCATCACGACACTCACACCAACACTAAACGAAAACACACAAAAGACACGTCCCCTCTGGAACCCCCACAAACCCACACAGCCACACAGCAAAAAACGAACACATAAAAACAAAGCAGCAAACACACCACCAGGAACGCAATAAGAGCTTGAAACATAAAATAGAAAAACAACACAAAGAAGCACACGCCAGGCTCAGCCCACGGCATACAAGGGCCAAACAAAATGACACAAGAACCAATAGGAAGAGAAGAAACAAAAAGCAAAACACCGAGACAGAATCCACAAAGGCTGCCCCAGACGGCATGAGAGAGCCCAACAAATAGCAAGCAGCACGGGCCAAAAACAAATACCACTAACAACGTCGTCACCCAGGACAACAAAAAAAATCCGAGTCAGAGAACCCAGGCACCAGGCAAAGCAGAAAGGGGAGGCAAAAAAGGCCCAAACCCGCAGAAGGCTGCCATACCGAAGTAAAACAAGGGGCACAGAGGACCCAGAGCAGGACATCAGACAAAACACATCACAAAAGGAACGCAAGCCCAGAGACGCAGACAGTACAATGCAATCGCAACAAAACGAAGCTAGGGCACTACCGGCAACCCGGAGCAAACGCAGAACAATCAGCTTACCAGGCAGGCACAACACCACGGAGCCAAAGCCCAAGCCCACCCAAACCCACTCAAACCACACAGGCCCAACCAAACGCCAAACCCCACCCCCAACCAACCTGCAGAAAGAGCAGCTGACCGCACCAAAGACTCAAACAGCCCACGATAGCATCCGGATATCTAAAGAAGGGCCTTCAACGGAAATAAAATAAGGAAATCTAAGACTACAAAACAAAAGAAAAAACGAAAAAAAAATCACCAAAACAACCCAAGAAAACAAAAGGACAAATAGGAAACTACAATCTCAACCCCCTAACAAATAACAACTAATAACGTAACACTTGACACACTCTAACAATACATAAAAAAAAACACACGACAGATGGATAACAAAAAAGAGAAAATGTGACAAAGCAAGGGCGGACAGGGAGCAGAACGACAACAAAAAACAAGAACCAATACAACAAAAACAACAAACACCACCACTGAACCAAAGCCAAGCAATTTCAATAAATAAGACATGGTGAAAAAAATACGAAAACACAAAAATTGAAAAGACCGAATACAAAAACAAACGACAATCAAAGCAAACATCAATAAAATAACGAAATAGAAATATAAAAACAAAGAACAAACAAAAAAAAAACAAACAACTGAGTAATCCAAGGGCAAAAATCATTAAAAAAGAGAAACGAGACTGCAAAATAAATAAGGTACCACAAAAAAACAAGAGCACGAGATCCCAAAACTAAATACTAATAAAAGTACCCCAACTAAGAGTGTGCACCACTCTCCTTGGCCGGGACAAGAGACAGAAACCAAGCCATCCACACTGACCGATATTCAAAGCACTAACTAAAGTTCACTTCATGCCAAGACAGGATCACACCAAAGAACAGAAAAATCCAAGGAACATCCAAAAAAACAAAAATCACGCTCAACATACAAAAAGGAAAAGAAGACAGACAGGTAAGACCAGACCGAATTCAATCTAAATCTGGAAAATAACAGCTCCCCAATAAAAACGAAAAACACCTAACGGAGCTAAAAAGCACAATCACAAACAAAGACAAAAAAGATGAAAAGAACTGAAACAAAACTTAAACAAAGAGAAACAAAAAGCCGACATTAAAAGAGCTTAAGAAGGAAGGACTACCAAACTAAAAGAGCAAGGAACAAACACAAAGAACAACAAAAGCACAAAATACAAAAAAACAAAAAGAAAAAAAAAAGCAGCAAAAAATGTGAAATTTGTTTCACAGACAAACTGCAAAAAATAAACCGGACATCAAACGCACACCCAACGCCATCACGAAAACAGCAGAGCCCAGACAACTTGGCACTAACCAAGGGGAAACAACCATAAAGCGCTGTGGGCGCGCAGCAAAAGAGACAACTATGACCTACACACAGCGACAAAAGAAACCCTCTTAAAATCCAACAACCACTGCCACCCGGTTCATAGAAGTTGGCAACTGGGCACAAAAACAAAAAAATCCACAACAATAAATAAACCGCAAACCCTAAAACATAGCTACAACCCAAAACACCAAACAAGCATCATAAACAGGCTACACAAGCACATCACAGTGAAAAAAGGAGGTAACACCACGAGACAGGACATGCCGAAAACACATGAGGCAAACCCAACGATCAATAGAAACACCAAAAAAACACAACCAAAAAAAGAGAAAACAAATACAATACAAAAAGAACAAAAATAAAAATACATAAAAATAAACGAAACAGAAAAAACAACCCCTAAACACTGAAGCAAAAAAAACTAGAACAAAAAAAACAGACCAAAAACCAAACAAACAAAAGCACATAAAAACAAATAAGCAAACACCATACAAAACACAAAATACACAACAAGCAACAAAAAATAACAAAACACGAAAAAAAGAGAAAGTAGGACCCAAAACACAGAAAAAAAAGGGGAAAAAAAGAAAAGCCGAAACACCACAGAGAGTACAAGAACAAAACAAAACACAAAGGAAGACACCATCAAAAAAAAAAAGAACAAAAAAAAGACATCAAAAAGAGAACTAAAAGAAAACATGACGCACCAAATAAACAAGGAAAACAAAGGAACAAAAAGGACAAAATAAAAAAAAACCAAAGATCAAAAAAACTAAAAAAAGTAACAAACGCAAAAACTAAAATGAATAATGAAAGAGCTCAACCACATACAAAAAATGACATAAGTAAGAAAAAACAACCATGAACAGAGACGAATAGAGACAAAACAACTACAGACACAAACAAAAATAAACACAGCCCCAGAAAGAGATAAGAAACAGCAATAAAAACAAAACAAACATAACAAATCTAAAAAGAAACAAAAACAAAAAGAAAAAAAAACAGAAGGAAAGAACCCCAACAATGTCCCACATACCATGAAACAACACAATAAAAAAATCCAACAAAGGAAACAAACCCCAACTCAGCTAAATGTAAAAACCAGAACCAAGAGGCAACAGAGGCAAAACAGTAAAAAAAAAAGAAAAAAAAACGCATAAAAGCAAAACCAGACCCACAGGCAAAAGCAGCATGAGAAAGAACAAGCAATAGCACCGAACCCCGCCCCCCAAAAACGAAAACTACCCCAGGCAGCACCAAGGAACCGCAGCTGACTCCGAGAAAGAAAACACAGACGACATCCAAAGACCAAAGAAAAGAAAAAACAAAACAACAGAAACTAAAAAAAAAAACACTGAGAACAGAAAAAAACGAAAATAAAATGCCCACCAATACACCGATCACATCCCAAAGCCAGGTCCAAGAAAAAACAAAACTGAAAAAACGAAAAACAAAAAAGGCAGATAAAGAAAATATCAGAAGACATTCAGAATGCACAAATGCAACAATGGAAAAGAATTGTATTCCCTTAAAGCCTTCTAATGAATTAACCAATTCTACTACAGCAACTGAAACACATAATTTTGAGGATGATAATCAAACTCTGCAGTTGTTACCAATTACAAATGATTCCCTAAATCAAAATATGACACTAAGCCAGGCATTTCATCTTAAAAATAATGATAAAAAGAAACAGATAACTGCAGAAAAACCAAAGCAAGATGCTAACATGTTCAAGAAACCTGTACTAGGATGTTATCGTGGCCACATTGTTCAGTCTAAAGTTAATTCATTCAGAAAACCTCTACAAGTCAAAGATGAGAGTTCTGCAACAACAAAGAAACTTTCAACTGCTATCTCTAAAGACACAAAGCCTAAGTCTGTGAACTCCAGCAGTGTAACATTAAAAAGTGATAGAGCCTCAAATATGACCACTACCACTACATTTATGAGCACTACATCTCAGAACACACAACTTGCACGGCCTCCCATTAGAACCCACAATAACATCCAGAACAGGGTAAAACAAGACATCAGCAGAACCTCTGCCAATGTCACTGTACGAAAAAAACCTCCTGTAAAAGGACTATTACAATCAAAAACAGTTCTACCTTGTGTCAAAACCATTTCTCAGTACATAAAAACAAGTAAGGCATTATCCCAAAACATAGCATCTGAACCTGTAGCCAGACCAGTTTCATTTACTACTACTAAAC